CGGACATAATTTAATAACATTAACAAATAGCGGCGGGGCTTTTACTCACCACAACTACAACTTCATTTGAAACAAACTACATTATAGACGGTCCGTTATTTATTAATCCCTCTGTGTGTTTATATATTTACTTTTTATCCGCTCCCGTTGTCTTTGTAAAGTTAACATATCGCACCGTCATTTCAAACTCAACACTTGTTTCAAATTAAAAGCCCTTTATAACCTTGGCTGAGAGAATCCCTCCATTTTCTAAATAGGCTTTTATTCTGAAACATTTGTCAGAACTTCCTGTGGAAGATATACTAACTTGATAGTTTACGTATGGCGCTTCAAATGGAGCTCCTGCCATCTGCTGATGCTTTTAGGTGACTACAACCATAGACATATATACGTAGACGCCGCATCAACTGCCTGAGCGTGTCCAGCGCTGCTGTCATCTTGGATGGGTCTCGCTTCGTCTCCACAGTGCATTCACTTCCATAGCATATTAATACATTTATTAATATATTTTAATAAAGAAAAGCTTGATTGTTGATTGAGTTTATTTCTCACACACACTCATTCTCTTTTATACCCATCAGACTTAATAATTCTTTGTTAAATAGATAATCTTACAGACTTCTTTGAAATTTCCTTTGGGGATTAATAAAGTTCTTATTTTTATTACACTGACTGCTGTGATCCCTCAAAAGTAGTAAAAAAAGGATGAGCAGCAGGGGATATTTGCAGCACAGCTGGTGGAAAAGTGAATATGTGCACAAAGGTGTGCTATACATAATATGCTATACTATGTTTTGTATTGTGTATATTGTATATTGAAAATCAATTGAAAATTCAGTGAGTTATTCTATTTTAGTTCTGCATACAGCTCCTTCCTCAATAGAAGTGAATGCACTGTGGAGGCGAAGCGAGACCCATCCAAGATGGCAGCCGGCTAGGACGTTGGCTCCAATAGACAGCGGCAGTCAATGCGATGTCTATGTATATATGTCTATGGCTACAACAACATGTCGGCTGGCACATGAACAGACACAAATAATAGTAAAAGTAATAAAAACAGGACAAGAATAACCCGATGACATCTCACACGCTGTGTAAGACGACCGGGGATAATTGGTGAGTACCAGCTTGTAGCGTGTACCAGGCATAATGCAAGTCCTGAGTCTGAAATATGTCTGTCAGCGAGTCCTACTCCACCTATTTAGTGTCCACCATAGACAACGGCAGCATTTCTTTGACCACGTAGCGAGCCACAAGCTCCGTGGCTTCTTTCAGACTGATAGGTTTAACGTTATCTCCGTTATTAGAACCAAACGACAGCCGTTGCTGTTTCAAAGCTGAGGACCAGCGTTCTAAAAGTAACGGAAGTAACTGATGTCTTGTTTGAAAATGTACTTAAGCATTTGATTACTTAAACAGCAAACTACCGCGTTAGGTTACTCGTTACTGCAAAAAGTAATCAAAGTACTCTAAGGCGTTACTTTGTAACGAGTTATACCCAACTCTGAGTCTGACGATTGTAACAAACCAAACCACATGAAAATCGGTTGAGAATTCAGCGAGTAATGATGATTTTAATCATAAATAGTCTCCTGCCTCAATAAACATACATGCATTAGGCAGCGCGGCTCCACCTGGGCAAGATGGCGGCCGCGTTGATGTATCGCTCCAATGAGGAGTGCCGTTGAATGCGGCATCTACGTATATATATCTGTGCTCATGTGTAAGTGACGTAGGTACTTACAAAATCTTAACAAAAGTGGTCAGCTGGAGATGCATGATGAGAACAGCAGTGTGTCTCAGCTGTTGGCTTGTGTTCAGATCAACAACTAACAAGTTTAAAAGTAAACAGGCTCAGTGATATTTACAGTATTACAACTATACTAACAATAGTTTCAGGCTTAATTTAGTAAACCATGCTAGAGGTGTTGCACAGTGGCTTAATGAGTGTCTGGACCACAATAGTTGATGTTCTTCTCTTAAATTCCTATGATCATTTATGTCAGGCTTGGACACTAGCCCCTGAGAGGGGCTTTTTTTTGCATGTTCTACAGGGGCTGCTTCATTTTCTAGGGGGTACTACTGAGTCCCCTTGGCACACCAGAGCAAAAAAGTCCTGTGTCGCATACATTAAATAAAATGGCACTGTACAAATAGTGCTACAAGTGGTGAGTTTTAACCACCCTAAAAAGGCCCAGAAAAAAAATTATATCAGTTCAAGTGTTTGCTAGATTTAGGACATTTTAACTGCTTCCCTTTGCCATTAGACAGCCTTTTCCTACGGGGAACTGAAGTTCTTATCTCAAAGCCACCAGACTCCATCGACAAAATCAATCATTGGACTTTGCAAAACAGGGGAGTTGCTCATCTACTGCTGCCCTGATTGTCATAAACTAAATATAGTGTCCACTTTAACTGATTTTGGTGTATCTTTTAGGTTGCTAAAATACATCTCGCTGCAGCCCCATCCACAGCAGCACATTGTTTAGAGATCTGGTTTATTAATGATGCTAGCAAAGTACATAAAATAAGCATAGCAGAAGCATCAGATAGGTCTCACCACCATGTTTAACTATGTATCTTTAAATGTTACAGTTATGGCTGAAGTTGACAACAGAAATCAACAAGTCTGCCAATTTTACATATCTCTGCCTTTCAAATGAATTGTCTACCCGGAAGTGGCTGTTCATGTTAGCGTCACTTCCAGTGATTTGGTTGAAGAGATTAAAAAAAAAAAATATGATGGATAAAAGAAAAAAGAGAAAACTCACTGTCCAAAAATCAAATAAAATAATCAGGTTGTTTAACGAGATCACATTCTGTCATGTGATTCAGCTTTTATTGCTACCATTTGCTTTTGCTATTGCTTGTGATATCACCAAATCACCTGGATTGTCAAAACAAGTTTTATTGGATAATATCTCAAAGCACAACATATACAGTATTCATTGTAAAATACATCATTTGATACTGAAGACATACAGAAATATCTATAAAGGCTCCATATTAAACATTAACAGCAGTTTACATTTCAGGCAAGGCGTTCAAAACAATACTGAAAGATCATATGAAATATTAAATCAACATGTTCACTCCCTTTACACGAGGAAACAAGTAAAACCTCATGGCATGATCCCATCTCTCAGAATAAAAATACATTTCAGCATGTTTGTTTAGGCAAAAATACAAATAAGAGAAAGTCTTTAAAAGGATTTCAGCTTTGAGGTTTTGGCACTGCAAGCCAAACATTTGTCATGTGGAGTTATTGTATTGCTTCTTGAGAAAGTCTACTTAATAGGGACAAACACAGACAGATCACTAAAGAAGATTGCTATGCATTCATTAAGCACAAAGAAAGATGACAGCAAAATACTTCAAAAACGAAAAAGAGTTTCACACAGTAGACCACGTGCATTTGATGCTGCAGGGATGGAGGGGTGTGCTCATGCAGCTACAATGGAAAACACCTTGACCATACAGTACGTCAAACACCTACAGTTTCTCTTCTGCAAATACATGTTCTGTCACAGCTGGATAAGGCCAGTCTTTGATTCACTCAGCTTATTTTTTGCAGAGAAATTAGTTAATATTTATCCTTGATGTTCATTCTAATATGTGTACTCACTTGGTAAAAAAAATAAAAAATAGTTTTTGTTTTCCTGCAATGAAAGCACTGACTGTATTGGTACTGGCCAGTGTTATTTTTTTACCGACTGACATCATTAGTCAGGGAGGATTTTTTGCTGATATCCGATATGCCAATATATAACAACTCATTTGACCCATAAGCAAAAATGATATCTATATATCCACTTTTTTCCCCACCTAATTTTAGTGATCAAGTCTCTCCTACCGTGGAATTAATATCATATTATACATGCATACTCTTATTGTGATGGCTCACCATCAGATGAAGACATGAAATAGAATGCCTTTCCATGTATGTAATATTTATTTATTGTGCAAAATAAGAAAAGCATGTCCTTAATTGGCTTGAGTAATTTTTAAGGATGCACAATACAGGATTTTTTGCCGATATTCAATATGCCGATACACAGCAACTCATTTGAACGATAAGCGATATCTATATATCCACTTTTTTCCCCATCTAATTTTAGTGATAATCAAGTCTCTTCTGTAGTGAAGTTAGCATCACATTATGCATAATCCTGAAGGCCCACCAGGAGATGGAGACGTGAAATAGAATGCTTTTCAATGTATGCAATATTCATTCATTGTGCAAAGTAAGAAAAAGCATGTTGGCTAATTCTGATAGTTCATTCTAAAGTCAATACTGGCTGATACCAATAATATACAAATTCAGTATTTTCTGGTTTCTTTCCTCCTCTGTGACAGTTAACTGAATATCTCTAGGTTGTGACCTAAACAATCTGAGGAAGTCAGGCTGGGCTTTGGGAAACACTGATCAACATTTTTCAGCGTTTAATAAACCAAACAACTAATACATTAATTGAGAAAATAAACAATAGATTAATCAAAAATGAAATAATCATTGGATGCAGCCATTGGAACACTTCCGTCCACATACTACATGCATTTTGGCCTGGGTTTGTTTCTCTCGGTTAGGGCCCCCTTAGTTCCAATAACGGTAAATGCTAATACTACAGCATACAATGATAGATGGTAGTATTCTTCCAACTTTTCCAACAGTTATGTGTGGCCCTGTCCTGTTTCAATATGTACTAAGCCAGCCTGATGAAGAAATGGTTTTCTCAGAACCTGACTGGCCTGCACAGAGCTCTAACCTCAACTCCATCAGCACCTTTAGGATGAACTTGAATGCCGACTGAGAGCCAGGCATGATCAGCTAACATCAGTGCTGGACCTCACTGATGCTCCTGAATGGGAGCAAATTCCTTCAGCCTGAGAGAGATGGGGTGAAGGCTGTTACAGCAGCACATGAACGCCTCTGGTTGTGGAATGATAAAATCAACTACGATGCATGGCGTGAATGTTATGCTGTCCACACACTTTTGGCCATTCAGTGCATTGGTTTTTACTGGATTTTCTTACGTTTGGCTTATTTTGTTAAACAAAATAAAGGTTTTTGGTTTCTTCACAGTGCAATAAAGTATCAAAAAACTAAAATCAGCTATCACATTGGCAGCTTGGCATCTTAAACCTTTGATAATGCCAGCCCGGACAGTAAGTGCTTTTGGTAGAGGAGAAGAGCTGCTAGCCTAAAAGACAAGGACTGTTAAAACTGTGAGAGGGATGCAAAAAACAAAAATAAAAGTCTTAAAATTAGTCAAAACAAACTGTAGACTTAGCAGTATGCGTGAGCCTGATGCTGGTCCATTAAAGAAACCTGCACTGTGAAGCTAGGATATGAATATGATGCATTTTGATTGATTCCATGTTTGAAACTGATTAATTCTACACTGGTTCCATATGGAAAGCTCTGTAAACAAAACAAATATTTGACATTCAGTAAGCATGCATGAATATGTGATTATTACCTGTGTTTGAAGGGGTATAAATGCAGTTTTTTCTTAAATAAATGTATATATGAAAAATAGTCCAGTTTAGAAGATACTGAATTATTCTCTGCATAAATGACCAGCTTGAATTGAAAAAATAGAAGTTGTGGCACAGGTGTGGAGATCCAGAGCCTGTGGTCTCCATCAGTCTGTGTGCCTCTTCAGCAGCTCTTTAATAACAATCTGTATTTCCCTTTTTTGTCCAGCAAAAGTAGCGGCTGACTACAAAAAGAGTGTCTGTGAAGGAGTGTTGCATGAGTCTGCAGACCCTGCCAGCAGCAGGAACTGATGGGATGTTTACGCCATGGTGTAGCCATAGCTCCCACAGTGCAGCGCTACCAGCAGCCGGTCTCTCAAGACCTCCTGGCTCGGGTATTCTGGGAGTTTCAGCATGTTGATGCTGTAGAGAGCACAGAAAAAGAGGGTGAGGTGGAGTCCTGGTCAAACTTCTGTGGTTATGATGACATATATGTGGCTGGTGGAGGAGTTGTGTTGTCTTCTATCTAAAAGAGAGGGCTGCAACCGTATGTATTACCTGTTGCACACTGAAGCATGCAGAGACCTCTCCCTGTTTTCAAACTCTGCTGTCTGTGTTGGAGGACGCCACTACCCAGGTCCAACTACACTGAAGAGACATACTGCCCTCTAGTGCTCAGTCACATTTGTTAAGTGTCCCTCAGCTGAGGCTTGTAGAGCGACTTGAACTGAGTCTGTATGTCTGTTTATTCATTCCTTATTGTTTGAGAGGGTTGAAGGAGGGAGATCATTACAACGCTTAAAAAATAACAGCATCCTGAAGTAGAGCTGTTTGACTACTGAAGATCAGTCTGAGTCCAACTGTGAGCACTTGTATGAACAAGTCATTACTGAGCACAAAGAAACAAGAGAGCTGTGGTAGAATTCAATCACTCAGTACAGTCCTTGGGATTTAGAAAAGTTTGATATCAAATCAAATACTGTGTATGCACAACACAATTAATGGATTTAACTCAAAGTTTGGAAGGTTCATGTCAGGCAAACAATTACATATAAGGAAACAAGAATTACCATCCCACGGTTGTATGCTTCCACGCTCCAATCAAAATTTCTCTTACAGTTTACATCCATGTCTGTGAAAACATTGATGCTTCACACATCTTCCCCCCAACAGCACATAAGATCTATACAATCAGCACAGTTTTAAGGTGGACATCCAAGATTAGTGTCACCAATTAAATATCTGACCAAATGTCTCCCCTTCTGTTCCTGAGATATGACGTTGAGTAATGGCCAGCAAAGTATTTTGTGCAGAACATTATGATGCCACAGTACAGTTGACCTTTGATCTTTTCTATATCGATGTGATAACTTTTTTTATTTTATCCTATTAAACATTTGTGTGAAGTTTTGTTATAATTAGCATATGAATTCTTGAGTTATGGGCAAAAATGTGACCTTTGACAGTAAACTTCTAATCAGTTAAATCTTTAGTGCATGTGGACATTTGTGCCAAATTTGAAAAAATTCCCTCGAACTATTCTTGAGATACCCCGTTCACGAGAATGACACACACAAAGTCACAGTGACCTTGACCTTTGACCTATGACCACCAAAAACTAAGCAGTTCATCGTTGAGTGCAAGTGGACATTCGTGCCAAATTTGAAGGAATTCCATTGCGTTCTTGAGATCGTGTTCACAAGGATGGGCCGGACGGACAACCTGAAAACATAATGCCTCTGGCTACAGCTATCACCGGCGAGAAGGCATTAACAGTGTTGAAATCAAGGATGGGCATGAGTGCGAGTACTTGATTTGGATGACAGTATTCATTCAACATATAGAGTAACTGCTGCCCAACTTCCCACACGTGAACATGACTTTTCTAATTTTCTTTCATTGTAGCGTCAAAACATCCATGAGACCATGACAAGTCCTGATCAACAGATTAAACATATCCAAAAGGACAACAGGCTAGAGGAGAACTAATTCAATAGAACAAATGTTAGAGAGAGATAAAGTCATTACCAGGTACTAGAGGTAGGCAGTAGGTTGGAGGTGTATGGCACTGCAGCAACGGTGAACTTCTGTAAACCACTGCCTCCCATCAGGTAGGCAAAGCCCCCATGAGGAACCCTGGAACTGATAGAGAAGGATACTTTATTGCAGCTATTAAACAGTTATACAATTTTCTATATTAAGAACTTTATTGGAAATCCAGCAGCAAACCTTCCAGTAACAAACTGAAGTAGAAGAACTCGTTCCTCCTGTGTCAGGCTGTTCACCACCTCCCAGAACCACTGCAAAGAAACAGAGACAGGTTAGCTGATGACAACAGGCAGAGAAACACAATCAGCTAAGGTGCTTCTGCAAAATTAAATAAATACAGTTCTAGTAACCTGTGCCAGAGCAGAACAGGACATGAGCAATGTTGGGAAACTATTTCTCCTTAATCAACCATCTTTGTCAACATCATCCTCATTATTTCTCTACTAAATTAGTTCTTTAACTTGGGAGTAATTTTCAAGCTGCAACCTCTGGCGCTGAAAAATGAAGCTAATGTGTAAGTGCCAAAAACTGACCACTTGAGGCTGGCTCCAAGAGCGAGTTAATCCCCATAGACGCCCATGTTAAAATGCCCCACTTCACAGCAGAAATAAACATGTTTACAGCCTTGTACAAAAAATAATTTTGGTCTCTGTAGCTATATTCCCCTGTAATGACAACTGCGAAAGTGGGGGTACACCCTGGACAGGTTGTCAGATTATCACAGGGCTGACACATAGAAACAGGCAACCATTCACCCTCACCTTCACACCTACGGACAATTTAGAGTCCCCCATTAGCCTGCATGTCTTTCAACTGTGGGAGGAAGCTGGAGTACCCGGAGAAAATCCATGCTGATACGGGGAGCACATGCAGCCTCCACGCAGAGGTGCTCCCCCACCTCGAACCCACCACTCCAGTTTCAAACCAGGAACCCTTTTGCTCTATTTTGCAACAATTCTAACCACTNTAGCTAGATAGATTTTAAGTAAAATATGTCAGTAGTAATTTCAATATTAAAACGTACGTATGCAGTTGGTAGTAAGATATTTTATCTTATTATGACTATTTCATGCTTCCATAGGCACTTCATTTTCAGGATTTATTTGATGCGTTCCCATTTTGGAGCTTTTGAATCATGTTTTGTTGCTTTAATATTTCTGTTGCAGGCACTGATCCGACTGGTGGTTGATGCTGTTTTCTGGTGCAGTACCAATACTGGGCTTCAAAAAGCCATACTGGTCCGATACTTTAACAGTCTGAGGAGACAGGCCTGTCTCCTCGGCCTGTCTCCTCGGCCTGTCTCCTCCGATACTTTAACAGTCTGAGGAGACAGGCCGAGGTCGCAGCCAGTGTAATGTGCTGTTAGGACAGAGCTGCAGCAGATGTTGGACTCACTGAATGGTGGTTAGGGGCCATTTAGCACCAGTAGACCTGCTGCTCTAAACTGGTGACCCAACACAGCACTCACGCTGCGGCCACATATGTTTATCCAGGAAAACACACAGCTGTGTGTGCGCCCACCCGCACACATACACACACACACACACACACACACACACACAAGCTCCTTCTACCCTCTCCTCACTCCCAGTGCCTCTTTTTGTATTTTTAAATCCCTTCACAACTATAGGATATATATTCTCCTCAGCAGCTTGCTTGTGATATCACCAAATCACCTGGATTGTCAAAACAAGTTTTATTGGATAATATCTCAAAGCACAACATATACAGTATTCATTGTAAAATACATCATTTGATACTGAAGACATACAGAAATATCTATAAAGGCTCCATATTAAACATTAACAGCAGTTTACATTTCAGGCAAGGCGTTCAAAACAATACTGAAAGATCATATGAAATATTAAATCAACATGTTCACTCCCTTTACACGAGGAAACAAGTAAAACCTCATGGCATGATCCCATCTCTCAGAATAAAAATACATTTCAGCATGTTTGTTTAGGCAAAAATACAAATAAGAGAAAGTCTTTAAAAGGATTTCAGCTTTGAGGTTTTGGCACTGCAAGCCAAACATTTGTCATGTGGAGTTATTGTATTGCTTCTTGAGAAAGTCTACTTAATAGGGACAAACACAGACAGATCACTAAAGAAGATTGCTATGCATTCATTAAGCACAAAGAAAGATGACAGCAAAATACTTCAAAAACGAAAAAGAGTTTCACACAGTAGACCACGTGCATTTGATGCTGCAGGGATGGAGGGGTGTGCTCATGCAGCTACAATGGAAAACACCTTGACCATACAGTACGTCAAACACCTACAGTTTCTCTTCTGCAAATACATGTTCTGTCACAGCTGGATAAGGCCAGTCTTTGATTCACTCAGCTTATTTTTTGCAGAGAAATTAGTTAATATTTATCCTTGATGTTCATTCTAATATGTGTACTCACTTGGTAAAAAAAATAAAAAATAGTTTTTGTTTTCCTGCAATGAAAGCACTGACTGTATTGGTACTGGCCAGTGTTATTTTTTTACCGACTGACATCATTAGTCAGGGAGGATTTTTTGCTGATATCCGATATGCCAATATATAACAACTCATTTGACCCATAAGCAAAAATGATATCTATATATCCACTTTTTTCCCCACCTAATTTTAGTGATCAAGTCTCTCCTACCGTGGAATTAATATCATATTATACATGCATACTCTTATTGTGATGGCTCACCATCAGATGAAGACATGAAATAGAATGCCTTTCCATGTATGTAATATTTATTTATTGTGCAAAATAAGAAAAGCATGTCCTTAATTGGCTTGAGTAATTTTTAAGGATGCACAATACAGGATTTTTTGCCGATATTCAATATGCCGATACACAGCAACTCATTTGAACGATAAGCGATATCTATATATCCACTTTTTTCCCCATCTAATTTTAGTGATAATCAAGTCTCTTCTGTAGTGAAGTTAGCATCACATTATGCATAATCCTGAAGGCCCACCAGGAGATGGAGACGTGAAATAGAATGCTTTTCAATGTATGCAATATTCATTCATTGTGCAAAGTAAGAAAAAGCATGTTGGCTAATTCTGATAGTTCATTCTAAAGTCAATACTGGCTGATACCAATAATATACAAATTCAGTATTTTCTGGTTTCTTTCCTCCTCTGTGACAGTTAACTGAATATCTCTAGGTTGTGACCTAAACAATCTGAGGAAGTCAGGCTGGGCTTTGGGAAACACTGATCAACATTTTTCAGCGTTTAATAAACCAAACAACTAATACATTAATTGAGAAAATAAACAATAGATTAATCAAAAATGAAATAATCATTGGATGCAGCCATTGGAACACTTCCGTCCACATACTACATGCATTTTGGCCTGGGTTTGTTTCTCTCGGTTAGGGCCCCCTTAGTTCCAATAACGGTAAATGCTAATACTACAGCATACAATGATAGATGGTAGTATTCTTCCAACTTTTCCAACAGTTATGTGTGGCCCTGTCCTGTTTCAATATGTACTAAGCCAGCCTGATGAAGAAATGGTTTTCTCAGAACCTGACTGGCCTGCACAGAGCTCTAACCTCAACTCCATCAGCACCTTTAGGATGAACTTGAATGCCGACTGAGAGCCAGGCATGATCAGCTAACATCAGTGCTGGACCTCACTGATGCTCCTGAATGGGAGCAAATTCCTTCAGCCTGAGAGAGATGGGGTGAAGGCTGTTACAGCAGCACATGAACGCCTCTGGTTGTGGAATGATAAAATCAACTACGATGCATGGCGTGAATGTTATGCTGTCCACACACTTTTGGCCATTCAGTGCATTGGTTTTTACTGGATTTTCTTACGTTTGGCTTATTTTGTTAAACAAAATAAAGGTTTTTGGTTTCTTCACAGTGCAATAAAGTATCAAAAAACTAAAATCAGCTATCACATTGGCAGCTTGGCATCTTAAACCTTTGATAATGCCAGCCCGGACAGTAAGTGCTTTTGGTAGAGGAGAAGAGCTGCTAGCCTAAAAGACAAGGACTGTTAAAACTGTGAGAGGGATGCAAAAAACAAAAATAAAAGTCTTAAAATTAGTCAAAACAAACTGTAGACTTAGCAGTATGCGTGAGCCTGATGCTGGTCCATTAAAGAAACCTGCACTGTGAAGCTAGGATATGAATATGATGCATTTTGATTGATTCCATGTTTGAAACTGATTAATTCTACACTGGTTCCATATGGAAAGCTCTGTAAACAAAACAAATATTTGACATTCAGTAAGCATGCATGAATATGTGATTATTACCTGTGTTTGAAGGGGTATAAATGCAGTTTTTTCTTAAATAAATGTATATATGAAAAATAGTCCAGTTTAGAAGATACTGAATTATTCTCTGCATAAATGACCAGCTTGAATTGAAAAAATAGAAGTTGTGGCACAGGTGTGGAGATCCAGAGCCTGTGGTCTCCATCAGTCTGTGTGCCTCTTCAGCAGCTCTTTAATAACAATCTGTATTTCCCTTTTTTGTCCAGCAAAAGTAGCGGCTGACTACAAAAAGAGTGTCTGTGAAGGAGTGTTGCATGAGTCTGCAGACCCTGCCAGCAGCAGGAACTGATGGGATGTTTACGCCATGGTGTAGCCATAGCTCCCACAGTGCAGCGCTACCAGCAGCCGGTCTCTCAAGACCTCCTGGCTCGGGTATTCTGGGAGTTTCAGCATGTTGATGCTGTAGAGAGCACAGAAAAAGAGGGTGAGGTGGAGTCCTGGTCAAACTTCTGTGGTTATGATGACATATATGTGGCTGGTGGAGGAGTTGTGTTGTCTTCTATCTAAAAGAGAGGGCTGCAACCGTATGTATTACCTGTTGCACACTGAAGCATGCAGAGACCTCTCCCTGTTTTCAAACTCTGCTGTCTGTGTTGGAGGACGCCACTACCCAGGTCCAACTACACTGAAGAGACATACTGCCCTCTAGTGCTCAGTCACATTTGTTAAGTGTCCCTCAGCTGAGGCTTGTAGAGCGACTTGAACTGAGTCTGTATGTCTGTTTATTCATTCCTTATTGTTTGAGAGGGTTGAAGGAGGGAGATCATTACAACGCTTAAAAAATAACAGCATCCTGAAGTAGAGCTGTTTGACTACTGAAGATCAGTCTGAGTCCAACTGTGAGCACTTGTATGAACAAGTCATTACTGAGCACAAAGAAACAAGAGAGCTGTGGTAGAATTCAATCACTCAGTACAGTCCTTGGGATTTAGAAAAGTTTGATATCAAATCAAATACTGTGTATGCACAACACAATTAATGGATTTAACTCAAAGTTTGGAAGGTTCATGTCAGGCAAACAATTACATATAAGGAAACAAGAATTACCATCCCACGGTTGTATGCTTCCACGCTCCAATCAAAATTTCTCTTACAGTTTACATCCATGTCTGTGAAAACATTGATGCTTCACACATCTTCCCCCCAACAGCACATAAGATCTATACAATCAGCACAGTTTTAAGGTGGACATCCAAGATTAGTGTCACCAATTAAATATCTGACCAAATGTCTCCCCTTCTGTTCCTGAGATATGACGTTGAGTAATGGCCAGCAAAGTATTTTGTGCAGAACATTATGATGCCACAGTACAGTTGACCTTTGATCTTTTCTATATTGATGTGATAACTTTTTTTATTTTATCCTATTAAACATTTGTGTGAAGTTTTGTTATAATTAGCATATGAATTCTTGAGTTATGGGCAAAAATGTGACCTTTGACAGTAAACTTCTAATCAGTTAAATCTTTAGTGCATGTGGACATTTGTGCCAAATTTGAAAAAATTCCCTCGAACTATTCTTGAGATACCCCGTTCACGAGAATGACACACACAAAGTCACAGTGACCTTGACCTTTGACCTATGACCACCAAAAACTAAGCAGTTCATCGTTGAGTGCAAGTGGACATTCGTGCCAAATTTGAAGGAATTCCATTGCGTTCTTGAGATCGTGTTCACAAGGATGGGCCGGACGGACAACCTGAAAACATAATGCCTCTGGCTACAGCTATCACCGGCGAGAAGGCATTAACAGTGTTGAAATCAAGGATGGGCATGAGTGCGAGTACTTGATTTGGATGACAGTATTCATTCAACATATAGAGTAACTGCTGCCCAACTTCCCACACGTGAACATGACTTTTCTAATTTTCTTTCATTGTAGCGTCAAAACATCCATGAGACCATGACAAGTCCTGATCAACAGATTAAACATATCCAAAAGGACAACAGGCTAGAGGAGAACTAATTCAATAGAACAAATGTTAGAGAGAGATAAAGTCATTACCAGGTACTAGAGGTAGGCAGTAGGTTGGAGGTGTATGGCACTGCAGCAACGGTGAACTTCTGTAAACCACTGCCTCCCATCAGGTAGGCAAAGCCCCCATGAGGAACCCTGGAACTGATAGAGAAGGATACTTTATTGCAGCTATTAAACAGTTATACAATTTTCTATATTAAGAACTTTATTGGAAATCCAGCAGCAAACCTTCCAGTAACAAACTGAAGTAGAAGAACTCGTTCCTCCTGTGTCAGGCTGTTCACCACCTCCCAGAACCACTGCAAAGAAACAGAGACAGGTTAGCTGATGACAACAGGCAGAGAAACACAATCAGCTAAGGTGCTTCTGCAAAATTAAATAAATACAGTTCTAGTAACCTGTGCCAGAGCAGAACAGGACATGAGCAATGTTGGGAAACTATTTCTCCTTAATCAACCATCTTTGTCAACATCATCCTCATTATTTCTCTACTAAATTAGTTCTTTAACTTGGGAGTAATTTTCAAGCTGCAACCTCTGGCGCTGAAAAATGAAGCTAATGTGTAAGTGCCAAAAACTGACCACTTGAGGCTGGCTCCAAGAGCGAGTTAATCCCCATAGACGCCCATGTTAAAATGCCCCACTTCACAGCAGAAATAAACATGTTTACAGCCTTGTACAAAAAATAATTTTGGTCTCTGTAGCTATATTCCCCTGTAATGACAACTGCGAAAGTGGGGGTACACCCTGGACAGGTTGTCAGATTATCACAGGGCTGACACATAGAAACAGGCAACCATTCACCCTCACCTTCACACCTACGGACAATTTAGAGTCCCCCATTAGCCTGCATGTCTTTCAACTGTGGGAGGAAGCTGGAGTACCCGGAGAAAATCCATGCTGATACGGGGAGCACATGCAGCCTCCACGCAGAGGTGCTCCCCCACCTCGAACCCACCACTCCAGTTTCAAACCAGGAACCCTTTTGCTCTATTTTGCAACAATTCTAACCACTTCACCACCGTGCTGCCCCCTTTAGTAATTAACATATAATAATTACACTAGATCTTGGTTGGAGGGTCCAGGGGATCTTGTTGTGGTGAACAAGCTCTATTTTTTCACTGCACTCTGGCACCCTATTTACATTCAAAGTACAAAAGAAAATAAAAAATCCCAGTGTGAATTAATTGCAGTTTAACTGTAAATCAAAAAATGATCTGTGGGCCACCTGGCACCCTATTGCAAGCCATATTTTGCCCACGGGCTTCAAGTTGAGTGTCACTGGTCTATAGTATTTTTTTTGCTGTAGGCTGTGGACTTTTAATCACACAACTGAAAACAGAAACTGCCCAAATGTTTGGCTGCTTTTAAACTTGCTCAAAATATAAAATGATGCTCAAATGTTCAAAGTGCTGGGCTGATGTAACACAATCACTTTATTCATTCAGCTGGAGTTTTAAGAGGCATCTGCCAGGATTACATCCAGGTTCAGGCGCAGTTTAGAATTCACAGTTTTAAAAATGCAAAAATACAAAGTTTAATGAATAAAAGCTGCGTGTACACTCTTGCATGGTGATGTCACATATAGAGATGTAACGGTATGGACCTGCATTGGACCTGCATTTGTATAGCGCCTTTCTAGTCATCTGACCACTCAAAGCGCTTTTTACACTACAAGTCACATTCACCCATTCACACACACATTCATCACATTCATACACTGGTGGCCGAGACTACCATACAAGGTGCCACCTGCTACTCAGTTTTAACACACTCACACACCGATGGAACAGCCATTGGGATTTGGGGTTCAGTATCTTGCTAAAGGATACTTCAACATGCAGACTGGAGGAGCCCGGGATCGTACCGCCGATCTTTCTATTGGTGGATGACCTGCTCTACCCGCTCTAGCTCTGAGCCACAGCCAGCCCAAAAATGAAAATTTCATATCACGGTTATTGTGACCAAAATGATCACGGTTATCATTATTATCGCGGTATTGTTGAAATGTGCTCAAAATATTGAAAAAGTACTTATGCACACACTGAAATCATTTACCCAAGTTTTATTTTGAAAAACAAATAGAATAAAGAGCACAATGTACTTTCTGTCTAACAGAAAGTCTAGCATGTTTGATTTTCTTTTTGTCGTTCACGATTAACGTTACTCCCATCACAGCCGTCACTTTGACCAATAGGAACACAGAGTTAGCTGCCGCCATAGACAACTGTATGACAACAACACCCCAGCCTTTTTAATATTTCCTCTAGGGATGTTACCACACAGAGTAAAAGGGGGAAATGTTGGTGTGAAACAGCAGAAGCACTTTGTCAACCTGCTGAGTACTGCCATTAGCATCAAGCTAGCAGACAATGTTATTTCTTCATAATGGAGACGGACATTAAAAAATAGGGGCAGGGCTTTTACTCACCACAACTGCAGAGGCTCCCAGCTTCATTTGAAACAAACTACATTATAGATGGTCCGTTATTTATTAATCCCTCTGTGTGTTTATATATTTACTTTTTATCCGCTCCCGTTGCCTTGCTAAAGTTAATGCATCGCACCGTCATTTCAAACTCAACACTTCCTGAATTTGTTTCAAATTAAAAGCCCCCTTATAACCTTGGCTGAGAGAATCCCTCCATTGTCTAAATAGGCTTTTATTGTGAAACATTTGTAGGAACTTGTTGTGGAGGATTCAGTAACTTGAATGTTAGCGTATGGTACTTCAAATGGATCTCCTGCCATCTGCTGGCGTTTTTTTACATTACTACAACAACATTTCGGCTGGCACATGAACACACACAGTGACTAAAATAATAGTAAAAGTAATAAAATAGGACAAGAATAACCCTATGACATCACACACGTTGTGAAAGACGACTGGGGATAATTAGTGTGGACCAACGAGTAGTGTGTCATGTCTGTCACGGCACAAAAATCTCCGGAGCACTGTCTGTGCAGGTGCCTTCGATGCCTTCCGCCATGTTTTCAGAGGCAATGAGCAGTATCACCGTGAGTTTATCAAAGCGCGGTAATCAAACACGGTTTTCATGATAATTAAAATTTGAAACGGTAATACTAACCGTCTGGAATTTTACCCCCGTTTATCATTTTACCAGTAATCGTTACATCCCTAGTCACATATAATGGGAAAGATCCTACATACATCCTAGAGAGGTATAGACTGAGGAAGGAGACAGCAGACGAGCTTATGTATGACCTGCTGTCACACTCTGGAAACAATCTTCACTGAACATTCGAAACACATATTAACAGACACTGTTGCTTTCCTTGAATTCCTTTTTTTTTTTTAAAAAAAAATCAATCCATAGAGACAATAAGGTGTAAGTAACTGGTAAACATCATTGTCACCAGGTAATTCAGTCTGAGAAGATTCAGCCCCTGGGAGCCTGGCAGAAAAGAAGCCCACCTGGATGACTGGCTCCTGAGGGTCATATCCACTGGTGTACTCAGTGTTCCTGCACCAATCCTGCACATCGATCTCTGGCATCCCTGACAGCAGGAGCTCCTGTGCGCACACAGACACAGACACAGACACAGACACACAGACAGACAGACAGACAGACAGACAGACAGACAGACAGACACACACACACACACACACACACACACACACACACACGGCATGAATAAAACTCCAGCTAAAAACACGTTCATATTAGTAGCAGCAGAAATCCCATGGTCCTTGGTGATTCTACAGATACCGTCCACATCTGATACAATCAATATGTTGCAGTTTGAGCTAAACTGATTATCTAAGATAGCCCTTTACCTGCATTGATTCTGATACAGATTTCCATAGCTCACCTCAGAGTATGTGCCAACACTGAGAACTGATCTGATACCAGAGCTCTCTTTTGCTCACATTTCAAACCTGTAAACCTTACTGCGTACTGCTGATCTGAATTGAAGTTTCAAGTAAAGTAATGTGATTCCAGGACGTTTGTGGCTCTGAGAACTCAGCTGGCTGTATGCTGGGACTTAAACTGCTGGCAGAACCACTGAATTTTAGTAATGACACTGAATAATGCCAGGTTCAGACTACACAATATCAGCCCGATTATAGCCCAACACGGCGGCAGCGTATGGTGTCTGTTTGGATCATGAGCAACAATTAGTGTCGTACGCAATAATCCATCATTATATCCTGTGTAGTGTGTCATAGTGGACGACAACAATGCCACATCTGGGACGCCTCATGACGTCCTGACATTATGTCTAGCATATTTGATTTTCTTTTTGTCTTCCACCACTTTTCTTTGACCAATAGAAACACAGAGCGATCTGCTGCTGTGGACAACTGTATGGCAACAACACCCCAGCCTTTTTGATATTTCCTTTCGTGATGTTACCACGACAGAGTAAAAAGGAAAAAATTATGGCATGAAGCAGCAGAGGCACTTTAGCAACCTGGTGAGTCTAACATGTCTGTTGGCCAAATCACGGCAAGATTTCACGACTCCACATTTGCCTAATCTGACATAAAGTCTGTTGGAACATACAAAAACGTCATGTAGTCTGAACCCAGCCTATGTTGAGTTATAATAACTAAATACTGATTATTACATACTGAAATATTGAGAGAGTCGTCCTCATGAGGAATTAACACTGCTTTAGCAATCAACAGGTCAAATTAGCTTGACTGGTCTGCTGTGAAGTCATGGTTTGGTAAGCAAGCCACTCGAGTGAGTTCGGTCCATTAAATATAGTTAGTTAGTTATAGTCCATTATAGTTAGTTATAGGCCATTTCAAGATTTTTTTTTTTTTATCATTTATGCCTGTCAATATCTAATGTTACGAAGGACAGTCTCTTTTATTATTATGTGGGGGTGATCCCTAATAGTCGACTGTTCAAACTAAGCAGCCTTATTTGACTGCCAGTCTCACAGATGAATCATCCATACAGGTTATATGGGAATGCTGAATGTCTAATTTTACATGAATTGTTTGGCTTATCCAAATAAATCCTAATATATAACCTATTTTGGTGTAAATGTATTAATCACAGCACCCACATATGAACATGGCACTCGCAGAGGGCAATATATATATATTTTTTAACTTAGGATCGGTTCACTGTCAAAATCAGCGGGAAAAGTCAAAAGTTCTGTTTACAACCATGGAGAGCAAGCAGGAACCAAACCAAGTAAACTGTTCTGTCCGTCAATTGATCTTCTCTGCTCCCTGTCAGTACTGTGGACAGCACCACTGCCGCACCCACACACACACCCCTTATACACACAAAACAGTACAGGATGGAACACATTCTCTTATAAAATAAATTCTTATGCCAAGTCAAAAGGACAAATTGTTTAACTAAGTGTTTCAGCTCTTTTTTTATCATTTTGTTGCCTTTATTGATAGCACAGCTATAGAGAGAGGAAGGTGGTAGGGAGAGGGAGGACATGCAGTAAAGGGCTGCAGGTTGGAATTGAGCCCGGGACTCTGTCTGTATGGGGGCACATACCCTACCAGGTGAGCTAGAGATTGCCCCAGGTGTTTCAGCTCTTTTGTCTGGGGTGGTAAAAACAAAGACTGATGTCACAAATGAGAATATGGATTAATGCAAGCCAGGAAAAAAAACATGACTATTAGTTGACTATAGGCAAAACTTGACAAATCAGATCTGACTATGTAAATTCTTTGTAGGGGACATCCCCTATTATTTCAAGCTAACCTACTGATATGTTATTTTGAGGAAACTAATATTTGTACTGAGCAGTGTTAGGAGCCTCTTTTATATATTAATATAGTTTTATTTTGAGACTTTTAAAGCCGCAATGTCGTCTTGATTCTCCTGATGCTTGATTTGTTCTGATATGTGGACATTTGTAATGTTTAATGTTATATTATTGTTAACATGCTACATGTCAGTGCGTCTCAGGCAATGTTGCAGAGTAAAACGACAGTAATGTAACAAGTAGCGTAACAAATTATTTTCTATTGGAAATAAGTTAAGTAATGCATTACTCTTTAAAATTATTCTGTAATTCATTACTTTGTTGAAGTAACAACACTAACCCTATTCATTGATACAGACCAACATGTGTCTGTAACACTGAGTAACGAAAACTGTCAAGCAGTGAAAAGCTAGTAATGCATGTCTGGTCAGATTTGTAACCTTATTAATTCTAAAATTTACATGATTTTAATTTAAATCAGGAACAATTCAGTGAAAGCCTCTTTTATTAATGTACAGTACTCATAGGGCTGAGCACATTGTTATATCTATACCATGATATGAGACTAGATATCGTCCTAAATTTTGGGTATCGTAATATCCTAAGCATTGTCTTTTCCTGGTTTTTAAGGCTGCATAACAGTAGAGTGATGATGACTTTACCAGACTGTTGCAGCTGTTCTATCATTGTGTAAATATCTGGTGAAAGCACCAATAGTTAACTTTACAGTATTGCTGAAATATTGATACCGAGGTGTTCGGCCATTTGATTTTTCTATTTCCTTCTTGTACAGCTGCTTGTGGTCAGACAACATTTATCATTTGAGAACTTCAGCTTTTTTTGACAAATGCTGAGTCTGGTGTCATTCTATATTTTTCTTAATGTCAACAGATCCCATGTGCAGAGCCACATCAACCTGTGTCAGTCCGTCTCAATTATTTTGGACTTCTATACCCTGTCTGTGGGTTCTGATATTAATCTTTAAAAACATGATGCAATACATAGTTTTCTTTGAGAATGATCACTAATCTGACCAAATAAGAGCACTACAGGGGTTACTCAAACAAGAGGAAATTGTGGAATTCCAACTGGAACTGGAATTTGCTGGGGACTATTTCCAGCAGTGGATTAATCCACATTTGGTGCTTTATTGAGTATTTGGGGCAGCAGGATGTTGTGTGTGAATCTGATTCAACATAAACCAAGTGTGTGTGTTCTTGGAAGGAACATGTCACTCAGTGCAACAGTGCATGTTTTATGTGTTTTAATAGCTTCTGGAGAATATTTGACTATAAGGTTTGGGGTCCCTCATACGGATGACTTAGTTACTCTGGTGTCTCATTAAGATTTAGCAGTTGTGAAAAAGTGTCTGAGTGAAGAGCTTCAATATGTTGAGACTTGGATGACTGGTAACGAGCTGTCTCTTCATCTCGGAAAAACAGAGGCCATCTTCTTGGAACCAGAATAAAACAAGGAAAGATCTCAGAAAGGAAGGTAAAGGTAGGAGAGATTGTTATTTTGACAAAGGACACAATTAACCAATAAACATATGTCTGTCTATATCTCTTTATCCATGCACATGGGATGTTTTGAAAATAATGAAAATATAGAATACTGCCATCATTTAAACCCTGGGCACATTTACAGGGCTGAAATCAGAGTGAGAGTGAAACAGCTGTTGTACTGTGAAAACACAAAACAGGCTGGTCTGTCGTCAGTTGCCCTACAATGACAGCATGGCCGAGGCATGTCCAACAAATCCAAGACGGGATAATCATCATGCTACACTATTGATCTTTGTACAAGTGAGGACATGAAATCTGCCAACACAGAAAAAAAAACCTCTAATGGAGTTGGAGAAGAGGGATGGGCTTCAAGGTGACCCCAGCACCCCCACCCCGCCCCATACAGATGAAGCTAATCAATCCCTGCATCACAGGCGAACTGAGCGCGCGAACGGAGGGGGTACAAGGAGAAAGCCAACAGTAAAAGACGATGGATAAGAGGAGGAGGAGGAGCAGGAGAAAAAAGTAGGGAAAGACAGGGAGGTCGGGGGAGGATGACTAACCAATTCGTATTCGTCGAAAAGCTGGATGAGCGAGGGGGGGATGAAGGTGTGGAATCCTTGCAGGAAGGCGTTTATCTGAGGCTGGATGGCTCGTGTCATCCTCAGCTCTGTCACCAGCTGGACGTACTCGGCCTGAGAGAGGACACGCACGCACGCGCGCGCGCGCACACACACACACACACACACACACACACACAGATCAAAGTCCTCAGAAATACTGATGGACAACAGAAAGAGACAGAGCTCATTTAGAATGATTCTTTCAGCTGCTGTTGGTCTGTTTTTGCTTTATAAGACAGTGCCATCTGCAGGAACACTGCAGTACTGCATCCTCTAATTAGGACTCTTCCAGGCAATGAGCTGAAGGAGAGAGATCAATTGCTCAGAGGAGACCAAATATGGATGAATATAATAGAGTAGAACTTTAACTTCAATCAAAACAACCACCTCTATAAAATCTGAAAGATTTTTGATTAAAACAAGTCAACTTCTGGTTTTACAGAAATTGCCAGGCAACCAGTGGAGAAATGTAACGTACCATCTTAGTTTGTACAAACCGTGGGCTAGAATAGAAAATGTAAAAGAAATGGCATGCACAGGCAATTGTATCCGGGCCACAAAAAAAAAACATTTTCTTACAACTAACATTAACAAACTTTTTATTTTCTATTTAGTTTTTTGAAAAGCATCTGACTTAAATCATTTTTATTGCAGCAAAATGTGATGCAAAGCAAACAGACTGACCAACACCATTTTACCATATTACCATACAACCAATTATAAGCATGAAAAGTTTGCTCCGCTGTGACTTTTGTGTTCTGCTCTAGTTTGGAGAACGTGAGACAGCTGTTATAGTCACATATGAAACATTCAAGTCCAGGCATCAAAAGTTAATGCCACCTTTCCTCCTGTACTCAAAAATTCCTCAACTTTATGCTTCACTTCTCTATAGAGCTTGGGTACGGCTGTGTCGGTGAAAACACATCGGGACGTCAAGTACCTGTGTTCCAGTGTTTTTAGCATGTAACAAAAGCATTTGTTTTCAACAACACTGTATGGACGCAGATCTTTGCACATTAAGTAGGTGATGGACTGTGTTATTTTCTTAGCTCTCTCAAAGTTAGATGGTAGTTTTGTCAAGCTATGCGTGTCTAGTGTTGGTTGATTTTTTCGGCAGAGCAGGCTTAGTGTCAGCTTGGCTGTCAGCAGCTAACACTATCTCTGGATAGCGGAGTACAAGGTGAGCCCTCGTGTTCGTAGTATCCCCAGAGTATTTTATCCTCATATGACACTGCTTGCAAATCCCTTGTGTCATATCCAAGTCCCTCTTTCCTTTTGTGTTAAAAAATCCAAAATAAGTCCAGATTTAAATGCCAATGGTGCATTTCTAATTTCTCTCTCCAGTGCCTCCATCTTTGTTTTGATGAACTTCCTGCTAAATGCCGCTGACTGAGACCTCTGCTGACTCGGGCTGTCAAAATTGCTCAAAAATGACGTTTGAATATTCCTTCTAAAAATTCTAACCATTCGAATTTTTTTTTTTCCACATTATGTCCACAAGAGGGCAAACTAATACAAGGAAACATACTTGTATATGTATTAATACAAGGAAACGTAACTACTTGTAGGTATTTTTATTTCCACATAAATGTCTTTGAAAACATTTACATACCTACACATTAAAACACATAAAACAATTATCTATAACATTACGTTATAAACAACCGCGGACCTCTCACTCGCCCCCCCCTCTCTGACCCGTGGCCACACCGCCTGCGGAAGCGCTGCGAATAGCCTCGGAGCACCGGACCATGACCGGACCGTGACCGGCTCACGCCCTGCAGCAATCGTTTCGGCGTCTGGTCTATTTTCTGCGCGAGCCGCGACCGAATGTGTCAAGCCAGGTGACGGAGACAACAGCTGGGAGCAGAACCGCTTGTCGACCAGGCTGGAGAAATGCGCGTCTGATGCCAACGCCCACTCGCAAATAGGACAGCTGCGGTGGTGTTTTTTCTTCTTCTCCACAATCGAATATCAATTTTCACATTCGAAGGTCCATTTTTTTTTTTTTTTTCAAATTCAAATTTAAATTCGAATTTAGAATATTCGTTGACAGCCCTACTGCTGACCTCACCAGGAAGAGAAAAAAAAAAAAAGTACCATCTAGTGGACTGAAAAAGCAAATGATTTCATTATTCTAGCACCAAATGCTGTATCAAAACGTGTGTTTGCAAAAATTAATAATGTATATTATAAAAGATCAATCCTGGCGTCTGTGTATCGATACAATATTGCCATGCAAAATATCACGATACTATGCTCTATTGTTTTGTTTTGGTTTTTTTTGCTGACCTTTGTTTTTTTGTGACCATTTCACAAGAAGCAATGTCTCCCTGATTTTTTTTCATCAACAATGCAATCAAAAGAAAAAAGCAAATACCTGAAGCATTCACATGATTTTGTTTTTATTGATTCCCTCCCCAATAATCACCTCACAACCCCTTACGGGGACCTTAACCCCAACATGAGAAACACTTTTCTGATGGGGTTTTCTTTCTTTACCTATAATTACTGTCAATATGAAGTTGTTTTCCAGTAAACTTTATAAAAATATTAGAAAATATGTCAAGGCATCAATACCTGCCACTCAACCTTGACCTTTCAGTAAACGTACAAGTTGCTGCGTTCTGTTGATACTGCATGACTGTGTTTGTGGGGGCTGACCTTGTTGTCCTGGGTGACCAGGATGCTGGTCCCTCCAGGTTTCAGCGGCACTTCCTCCATGGCCCCAAACACGTCCGTCTCTACAGAGAAGGTGAGCTCCAGACCCAGATCACTGATGTCATTGTCCAGGATCCACTGCAGGTTCTTTGCATACTCTGGATCAATGGACGACACGTCCTGGTAGTTCACTGGGATACCTGGAAAACACACATACAGACAACAATACAAACTTAGTAACTAACACAGTCTAACAAACAAACATTATAGTAATGCTATTAGTGTTATGCTGAGTAACATACTTATGAAGAATATGATCAAAACATCAGTGGAATCATCTAGTCTACAAATATATAAAACTAATAAAAATGATCAATCTTTCCCAACACTGAATGCTTTTACCCTCAAACTGTTTTTGCTACGTTTTCTCTTGACGTCACCTCATGTTTTTGCTACCAAATTGTTGAACAATATATTATTACTTTCAAGTTAGGCTTCTTAGAAATGACAGATTGTTATGCCAGTGGTTCTATAAATGTTTCTTATAAAAGCTTTTCTGACTATTTTTTTGCCTTTATTTGGACAATAGACACATGAACCGGTGCATTCTGTATACCCATTGGCCACCAGGGTGCGGCTGTGGTTCGGGGGTAAAGCGGGTCATCCACTAATCAGCAGATCGGCAGTTCAATCCCTGGCTTCTCCCATCGGCATGTTCGGTATCTCTTCAAGTATCTGGCACAAGTAACCTTAAACAAGATACTGAACCCCAAATTTCTCTTCGAGGCTGTTCCATTGGTGTTTGGTTGCATGTGAATGCTTACCGAGTATGGTAGCCTTGGTCACCAGTGAATGAATGTGTTTGTGAGTGGGTGAATGTGACATGCAGTGTAAAAGCACTTTAAGTAGTCAGAAGACTAGAAAAGTGCTATACAAGTGCAGTCCATTTAACATAAGTGAAGGACAGCTGAAGAAGAGTTTGGCGTTAAAAGAGAAAAAAAAAGTTCTAAAAGACATGAAATGATGAGTTTATTGTCTCCAATTCATCAGGTTTTCAACAGGGAAAATATCTGTCTATGACTGGACAGAGGAGAGAGTTCCAGGGCTATAGCAACCATAACAACATTCAGAGCCTTTGTAATGTTCAAAATATTTGCTCTTCTATTTCCACTTTGATTAATGTGATTGATTATGAGATTCAAAAAGCTCTCAGTGATGTAATCTTGAAATATAATGTTGCTGTGAAGTCAGTGAACATCATACTGAATGAGCTACTAAGAGTTCCTGTTCGCACTGTACCCATGTTAGGGATGTCAATGGTTAACTGTTAGTCTGTTAACTGCTGAAAATATATGACCAGTTATGCATGTTGATCTATAGGTTAATTTTGCAAACTTCTATTTCAGTAGTAGTCTTAGCACTATGCTGTACCATATTAAGAACCAAGTTAAAAAGGAATTCATGCTAAACTGATTAGCTAGCCTTGGCCACGCTGCACACCACCAGGGTCTTTCAGTTCCCAAGCCGACCCATGGTGACAGGATGCCATTGTTGTGGAAACACTGAGCTCACCTCCAACCTCCCCTCCGGTTGCCTCAGTGAGAAAAAAAGGGTGTATTTTGAGCAAAATATTCCCTTTAGCATTGTTAACTATGTTATCACTGTTAGCTCTGCTTACACAGTTACAGCTAGTAGTGCTAACATATATTAACAGAGAGTGGCCACCATATTTCCACATCAACGGCGTCCCATCGACATGTGTCAGGAGAGTATTACCAGCTGTAAACGCTGAGCTAGCTTTTGCCTGACCCAGGTGGCGCACAGTGCAGTTAGCTAACCAGTGGAGATCAGAGGGTGGGCAGAGAGCGCTGTGTTTGTTTTTTTAAATATTATTCTTCGGGCAGTTCCTGCATTTATTGATAGGGCAGCTGTAGATTGACAGGAAATGTGGGAGAGAAAGGGGGGATGACACGCAGCAAAGGACTGCAGGTCGGAATCGAACCTGGGCCACTGCAGAGGACTCAGCCTCAGTGGGGCGCATGGGCACTATGTCTTTCACATGTTAACACAGTCAGCCAGCTGTCTGTCAGCAAAGCAAACAGTAAATAAAAGGGAAGGGAAGACATTTACATGAAAATCCTTAAAATTTCACCACCATGGATAGCACCATCAAATGCTGAGCTAAAGTTCACTGAGTCATAAAGTGTCGGCATAAAAGAAATTAGGCCTCTTACATTACATGTCATTTTGATTTTTTTTTTTTTTTTTTGGTAATAACTAAGCAATTAGATGCCAGTTAATGGGCATCTGAAAGCAAAATTAACCAAAACTAACATCCCTAACCCAAATACAGATAACAAGCACCGAGATTACTATTGATATAGTTCTTTGTGATTTTGAGGCAGGATCTTAAGTTGAAGAAGTGTCTTTTTTATATAACTGAAATCATAAATGAATCAGCGGGAAAAAAGGCCAATTAGCACCAACAAGGGCCAATGGTGTGGGACACACCACAGGAGGGCGGCAAACACACCAATGGCTCAACTCTGACCAATGGCTGACCGTCAGCTTGGTGTGTCAGGGCCTGAAGTCATGCTGATTCCAGCAGTGTCTGAATGATTAATGTCCATATTTACTAATGCACTAGTCTGTTTCGTGTCAACACATACCCAGGATGTGTTTGTAGAAAGAGCGGGTGAAGTAGATGTTGACCAGCTGTCGGTGGTACAGAGCCAGACCCAGGATCTGACCTGCGAACCGGAAATAGTTTAGGTGGTCTGGGTTCACAGATGAGTTACTGTTGGGCTGAAAAGTGGTACCTGTAGGTGAGACACACACACACACACACACACACACACACACACACACACACACACACACACACACACACACACACACACGCACACACCCTTCATTTTACATGATACAGCTCTGCTTGTCACACTCAATGTTATCACAGTAAGGAAATATGTCTTGTACCATCAGCTGACTGGGTGAACAGAGCATAGTCTGGGTTGATGATCTCATTGGACAGGATGTCAAACCACTCCCGAACCACACCCTGGCCCTGAAACACACAGAGAAACAACACAACACGTTGCTGTGGATTCACTGAGACATGGGGCAGCTGATCCATCAACTGAAACAGGCCAACAGAAGGAGTTTTATTACTGAACACTTGTGCAGTGTCATGATTTTTGAAACCCACCATGCCTTCCTCGCCATGGAAGCGAACAGCAATACCCTGTTTGAGTTTCTCATTGGTGGACTTGGAAACCATCTCACAGCTACTCCTGAATATGGAATCTGTTAGTGAGATTAAAAAGTAGAAATAGTAAACTGCAGAACAAAACATTAGGGAGAAAAAGATGTGGGGAACAAATGGCAATATGGTGGTCAGAGCTGGAGCCACATGCTTTCTATTCTCCATTTTACTGACAGGACAAACTCAATTTAAAAGATGACTATGTCTTGTTTATTGGAATTCACAACCTGCAAAACTTTCTTTTTTATCATTACCTTATCACAACATCTTGCACCAAGCAGCATCCATAATTTTGTAGCTGAATCCTACCACTCTTAGCCACCATAGTGGACAATGTTGGAAATCATTTGTGGGAACGGCAAACAGACTAGATCCTCAATGTTCTGTCTGCGACAGTCAGGGCATTAATATAACAGCAATCCACTGTTTGCCATGTAAAGACATAGTGTAGTAATACCATCCTGAGCAGAAAATGTAGTCACGTTCTCTCTGTGTTGTAAACCTAAGCAGCAAATTTCGAAGCTGAAAAATGAAGCCAATGCAAAGTACCAAAAACTGTAGTTCCTCTCATGGCCACATGAGGCTGGCTCCAAAAGTGAGTCAATCCCAATCAGTTTTTGTCTTTAAAGCTAATTTTCCCTGTGCCTGTCAACAGCATGGGAAAATTTTTATGTAACTCACAGGTTTTTCTTTTGAAGGCTTAAAGTTATGCACAATTAATTGCATGACCACATTAAGATACGGGGGGGGGGGTTAGTTAACCTCCAATTCACAAAGTACAGATACGATAGCATTATCACAGCTAACCATAGCTGCAATTGAACTGTCCTAACCAAGCTAACAGCTAGCATTAATGCCACCCTCTTGTCCACATATGGTCACTTCTGGCTCAATAAACCCAAGACAACGACGGCCAAATGCTGAAATGTGTTTTGTTGTGGTAAGTCAGTCTGGCCACACATGCATGCATGTATCCCAATGGCCAACTCATCGTCACTGTTTTCTACTGCATTCAGTGACTGTGTTGTCAAGGAAACGTCACGCCCACCCTCTGGTCCCACCTTGGTAACAACATTAGCTCAGTCAGCACTGTCTCTGTTGTTAATGCTGTTAACTGAACTGAGTTAGCACAGTTAGCTGATAGCTGTCAGGTCAACTATTCCATGATGAGAACCGAAAACCCGCTCCAGACTCATCAGACTAATCATAGAAATGCTCTGAATGTCGCAAACAGCTCCTTTAAAGTTTACATTTTTCTGAAAAAATGTGACACTCTTTCTTGAACATTGAATGTTTATAATTAAGGTTCCTTTTGTCATTTCCTGCATATAGTGTCTAAGTTACAATCAAAGTAAACTAGGACTGAGTTCTGAAGGATTCAAACTCTAAGGCCTTGTGTAAATCAACATTAGCAGTGCAAAAAAAATGCAGCCCCCTCATTCATTTCCATTAGACCTCTGTGTTGGTAGAGCAGATGTGCCAGCAGTGCACTGTTGTTAGCCAGCATACAAGTGTTCATTCCTGATAGATAACTTTGCACAAAGGCTGCAGCAGTCACAATGTACTAAAAGATGTCTCACAGTATAATTAATTCATGGCTTTATATATTTAAACTGCCCTTCTTGATGGCTTTTTATCATCTCACCTGTGACTGCAGAAACACTACTACACTAACTGAGCTCCAATCATGTTTATCATGCAGTGCCTAAAATAAAACATGCCTCAACCTGCAGGGTGCAACTAATAAGACTTATTTCAGGGAGGTTTTTCCGGTGTTTGTTTGACATTAATGTGGTCTTGAAATGACACTAAATGTTGTACTGCACTCTACTGTAGCAACAACTGGCACATATCCACCTGTACTCATTCTGTATGCATTTGCCAGTAAGCCAGGGAACATTACACTGGAGTGTAAATTACATCTGTGAATGGATTTGGTTGTGATCTTCTCCCCACCACACACTGACACTGTTCATATATAAAGAGGACATTTTCTACCTCTGTGGATGAGCAGGATGTCGTTCTCGTTGACCGGACGATGAACCATGTCTGAGTCTGGCTGGCCGGCCAGCAGATGCTCATAGAACCACTCACAGCGATCCTTGAAGGGCTGAGAGGGAAAACAAGACTTCATCCCACACTGCACAGCACTTTCCTAAACTAATTACCACTTCTATGTGCTTTCAACTCTCAGACTGTGGATTTTTCAGTCTCAGCCAACGACTCGGAAAGCCTTCAGTGCTGAAATACTCGTCTGTAATACAGAGATGAAGCTGGGGTCTATTTGCATAATATATGCCTTTGTTCTCTAAGCGTTGGAGGTAGAGTGAAGGATGAGCGAGGAAGAGAGAGAAAGGCTTTTCCCCCCGGGGCTGCAGGGCGTACTGAGAAAGGAATCAGGAGATGAAATCAAATTCACCAGGTTAAAGTCTGTAATTAAAACAAGGGCCTACTCCCAGGCGAGCCATAATCCATGGGTAACGAGGCTCGAACGCTGCAGCTCAAATATGAATACTGAAGAGTGAGGGAACAGCACACAACTCGGAGCAGCACTTAAAATTTATGAAGCCATATAAATGGAACTTAAGACAAGTGTTATCGCCATGGTTGTAACACTGTTAAATGATCCTGAAGTGAATACAGGGGACTTTCAAAGTCACTTTCCATAAAGTCCCTGAAGACAGTCACATACAGACACAGAGGGACTCTGACTTATCAAAGGAAAGAATTAAGAATAAGATACATACTTTTGAGCCACAGTGTAGTTTGCATACAAGAGAGACAAATCAAGCTGCCCAGGCCTATGGGGGAAATTTAATGTATTTCACTCAGTTTGGGAGCTAATAAATGATGGCTGATTTTACAAGGTCCTGATCAGCTTGACCACCTGTGTACATTCTCTGTGAGGACCTTTAATAACTAGAAATACACATCTTCCCCCAGGCAGCACAGAAGATCTATACAATGAGCACAGTTTCAAGGTGGACAGCCAAGATCAGTGTCACCAATTCTGTATCTGACCAAATGTCTCCCCTTCTGTTCCTGAGATATGACATTAAATAAAGACAAAGAAAACTGCAGAAAATTATGTCACAGTGACTTCAACCTTTGACCATTTGAATATAAAATGTCATCATTTTATCCTTTTTCAAAATTTGTGTGAGAATGTTGACATAACTAGCATATGAATTCTTGAGATATGGCCAAAAACATGTTTTGTGAGGTCACATCAACCTTTGACCTTCGAACGCCAAATTGTAATCAGTTCATTTTTGAGTCTAAGTGGCTATTTGTGCCAAATTTGAAGAAAATCTCTCAAGGCGTTCTTGAGATATCAAATTCACAAAAATGAGATGTATGGAAGGTCCCAGTGACCTTGACCCTTGACCACAAAAATCAAATTAGTTCACTGTTGAGTCAAAATGAATGCTTGTGCCAAATTTTAAGAAATTTCCTCAGGGTGGTCTTGAGATATCGCGTTCACAAGAATGAGACAAACAAGGTCACAGTGACCTTGACCTTTGACCACAAAAATCTAATTTGTTCATCTCTGAGTCGTCATTGTGTGTTTGTGCCAAATTTGAAAGAATTCATTTAAGATGTTCTTGAGGTATCGCATTTACTATGAGACAGATGAGGTCACAGTGAACTTAGCTCTTGACCTTTGAAACAAAAACATGGTAAAACAAGGTCCAGGTTGTAAAATTTCCCTTTAGGTAGATGACTGAATTTCAATATTAAGATTATGAAAGTATTTTTGCTACTACCTTTATATGTACACTAGATCTACTATATTGCAATGTTTCAGTGTGTAACTGTAGTAAATATGAGGCGACAACATTCAAATCAACATACAGATAAGAAAAGGTTTATGGATGTTGTGGGTTACATACTTCAAGTGTGCACTTTCTGATGAAAAACAACTGTTATCTCTTGCTCGAAGAAGAACAGACCATGTTTTCCGGTGGACTGAATTTAGCTTACAAACTTGTGCTGCCATGTAAAGGCTCTAAAACCCTTTAGTAAATGAATCCTTACCTGGCCCTTAATGATATGCATGAAGCGTGACATCAACTCTGGACACTCCAGGAGGAAATGGAAATGGTTAAAGATGATCTTTGGATTCCTGAAAAAAAAAAAAGAAGCAGAGGGATGAACAGAGCAAGAAACATGACGAGGGACTAAGAGTACAGAGAGATAAGAGCGGAAATAAATTAGGAGGAAAGAAGCTGCTAGATCAATCCTCAGGCTCTGGGTGCTGTGCGGGGAGGCTGAAGTATGGCAGAGGGCCACATTGACTCACCTGGTTACAAAACACTTGAGCACCTCATCGTGCTTGCAGACAAACTCGATAAAGCGAGGAGACGTCATTCTGGGTGAGGGGAGAGGGAGGTGAAGAGTGAGGAAGATGAAGTGAGAGAGAAAAAGAGACAGCATTACCATCTCAGTACCAGCATCTGTTTTACAATCAGATCATTCAGTTTTATCTGAAATGGCAAATTTTCCTACACTGACAATTATATTGGATCATAACAGAAGACATCACTTTGTGATAAAGAGCAGAGTAAAGAAGATGAGAGCAACATCAACAGAAACAGAGAGAGCTCAGCTCAGCAGGCAGGTCAATAACAGGCCTCTACTGACTGTTAAGTAAGAATCGTTAATGACTGAATTGTGTATAATTATGGACCCAGAGAAAAGTTTAAACAAAGAGAGTGAAATGTAAGTGCAAACAGGAGGCAGACAAAGCAGTGCAGATCTCAGTGGGAGCTATTTCAAGTTCTTGAAAACTGAGTAGTGCACTGAGTATGCATACATAAAGTACAGGCCAAAAGTTTGGACACACCTTCTCATTCAATGCGTTTTCTTTATTTTCATGACTATTTACATTGTAGATTCTCACTGAAGGCATCAAAACTATGAATGAACACATGTGGAGTTATGTACTTAACAAAAAAAGGTGAAATAACTGAAAACATGTTTTATATTCTAGTTTCTTCAAAATAGCCACCCTTTGCTCTGATTACTGCTTTGCACACTCTTGGCATTCTCTCCATGAGCTTCAAGAGGTAGTCACCTGAAATGGTTTCCACTTCACAGGTGTGCCTTATCAGGGTTAATTAGTGGAATTTCTTGCTTTATCAATGGGGTTGGGACCATCAGTTGTGTTGTGCAGAAGTCAGGTTAATACACAGCCGACAGCCCTATTGGACAACTGTTAAAATTCATATTATGGCAAGAACCAATCAGCTAACTCAAGAAAAACCAGTGGCCATCATTACTTTAAGAAATGAAGGTCAGTCAGTCCGGAAAATTGCAAAAACTTTAAATGTGTCCCCAAGTGGAGTCGCAAAAACCATCAAGCGCTACAACGAAACTGGCACACATGAGGACCGACCCAGGAAAGGAAGACCAAGAGTCACCTCTGCTTCTGAGGATAAGTTCATCCGAGTCACCAGCCTCAGAAATGGCAAGTTAACAGCAGCTCAGATCAGAGACCAGATGAATGCCACACAGAGTTCTAGCAGCAGACCCATCTCTAGAACAACTGTTAAGAGGAGACTGCGCCAATCAGGCCTTCATGGTCAAATAGCTGCTAGGAAACCACTGCTAAGGAGAGGCAACAAGCAGAAGAGATTTGTTTGGGCCAAGAAACACAAGGAATGGACATTAGACCAGTGGAAATCTGTGCTTTGGTCTGATGAGTCCAAATTTGAGATCTTTGGTTCCAACCGCCGTGTCTTTGTGAGACGCAGAAAAGGTGAACGGATGGATTCCACATGCCTGGTTCCCACTGTGAAGCATGGAGGAGGAGGTGTGATGGTGTGGGGGTGTTTTGCTGGTGACACTGTTGGGGATTTATTCAAAATTGAAGGCACACTGAACCAGCATGGCTACCACAGCATCCTGCAGCGACATGCCATCCCATCCAGTTTGCCTTTAGTTGGACGATCATTTATTTTTCAACAGGACAATGACCCCAAACACACCTCCAGGCTGTGTAAGGGCTATTTGACCAAGAAGGAGAGTGATGGAGTGCTGTGGCAGATGACCTGGCCTCCACAGTCACCGGACCTGAACCCAATCGAGATGGTTTGGGGTGAGCTGGACCGCAGAGTGAAGACAAAGGGGCCAACAAGTGCTAAACACCTCTGGGAACTCCTTCAAGACTGTTGGAAAACCATTTCAGGTGACTACCTCTTGAAGCTCATGGAGAGAATGCCAAGAGTGTGCAAAGCAGTAATCAGAGCAAAGGGTGGCTATTTTGAAGAAACTAGAATATAAAACATGTTTTCAGTTATTTCACCTTTTTTTGTTAAGTACATAACTCCACATGTGTTCATTCATAGTTTTGATGCCTTCAGTGAGAATCTACAATGTAAATAGTCATGAAAATAAAGAAAACGCATTGAATGAGAAGGTGTGTCCAAACTTTTGGCCTGTACTGTATATATATATATATATATACAGCTTTATCAGGAATCAAAAAAGGTAGAAGTGTTGGTAGTAGTAGTAGCAATCCATCAGTGTGCTAGCAGAATAAGCATTAGTTTTCCATTTGAATGCAGACTATCAATAGAGATAAATGCACTTGAGGCATATAGTACATCTCTCCTTGTCACTAAGAAGACATCAGGCTCAGCACAGCAGAGACTGAGGAGTGACACCTCTCAGCAGGGGAACTTGAGCTGTCTACAGAGGACACATTTCAGCTGTGTTACTCATTCGTCTGCCTTGCATGCATTTGACAGAACAGATACGCTTGTATGTTTGTCAATACAGCTGTTTACACCTGCTGTGTAACAGCTTCACTCACACTTTAGCACATAACAGCAATGTGGTTGGTCTTTTTAAGCTTGAAATGTTTTTTTATTTATTTTTTTTAACAACAGTGGATGTGTTTGTGAGTTCTGTCAATGGCTGTGGTGACACGTGGTGTGTCGCTGACGTAAGACGGAAGCTGCTGCTTTTGCATTAATTTCACTACACAGCCTTTGTAGACAATGTGTTACTGTGGACTCTGAGTCTACAGATGGATGCAGGGTGGATATGAAGCTTATGAGACACTACAAACAGCAGCAGCATAAAGAAAAGAGTGAGCAGATCACTGACATCACATCACATTGGATCTATGTTGCAGTGGGTATTAAAGCAGGCTTCAGAGCTAGAAATACTTTTCTTCTGTGTACATGCATGAGTGCATTTGACTTTTAAAGTTACAGGCACCAAAATATTCTTACTTGGACCAGAAAATCTTGTTATTGCACCATGTGGTTTATTTGTTCTCCTTTATCCACATTTCCACCATGGTTGGATTTGACCAAAATTACAGTGAAGTTCCAAATCCAGAGTTCTCGCAAGAGCACAATTTGAATTTGCTCAGCGAGTCACTCTGGCAATCAGTAAAGATGCTCATTACCCATGCCCTCGTAGCCGAGCTGCACCAATCACATCGGTGTATCTGATATAGGCGGGCCAGAGGTGAGCTAAACAGATGACTACAGCGCTGCGATGACGAAGTCCGGAATCAGTCAGTAAACACTGAAAGATGGCTATGGATGAACACCAGTTGTTTGAAACGGCTTTGGCCGCTACAATGAACGAGTTAGACTTGGCTTTTTCTCTAAAAGAGGAACAGAAGAGGGCGCACAAATCTTTCCTTTGCAAGAAGGACGTTTTTGCTGTTTTGCCGACCGGATACGGCAAGAGTCTAATCTACCAGTTAGCTCCACTGGTAGTGCTCTGGATACGTCACCCCGTGTATTGTTCTGATTGGTCGTGGTGTTATCCAATTGTGTGCAGTGATATTTTCAAATGCATGCTTGGTGCCGCCCCTCGAGTTGGGCCATTTACATTACTCATAGCCAGACCCTAAATCTTTCTAGATTTGGGTCTGGATTTCCAGGCTAGTTAAGTTCAGTGAAACTACTTCAAACTTTATATGGTCATAGTTGCATTTTAAGCAGCTTCTCAGCAAACCTTAAATGGAGACCTTTTTAAATTATTCATATTGGGTCTTCTTGGTGTACACTTTTTTCCATGTTATTAAATAAATAGATATTAACTGACTGATTATTTACCTCTACGCTTCAATTACCATCTTCCAATGTTTACAGAAGCTTTTTATGCAGTTTGTAGTCTCTATATTCAGTGAATGTAGAGTCTGTAGGCAAACCCCGGAGATCTTGCCGCCGGAAGAAAAGCGGAAGAGCCCTGGTTTCCGGTGCTAGGGTGTTTGTAGTCCGCGTGATATTGACCAATCACGTTTGAGCCGGCTGCAGTTGTTGCCAGGTTAAACGGTCCATGCGGTGAACTAACGAGGCGGAACATAATTGCGTGAGTCTTGTGGTCAATGTGTGAGTTGACACCTGTACCAAATTATGTGTACCAGTGCATGTAGAGCTGAGAATTATGTGCACAGCTCAAATTCTGTGTGTACATATGCATGTGGTACTTTGAGCCCTGCTTTATACTAGTACTGGCCGTATACTGGCAGTAGTACCAGTAATAGAAGTGGTGGCTGTGGTAAAAGTATCAGAAGTAGCATAGCAGTAGTGGCTGTACCAAGAGTAGTATAAGTAGTGGCTATAGTACTAGTGTCAGTAGTAGTATAGCAGTAGTGGCAGTGGTAGTACCAAGAGTAGTATTAGTAGTGGCTGTAGTAGCAGTAGTACAGTTGCTGTAGTAGTAGTGGCTATAGTATTAGTGTCAGTAGTAGTATAGCAGTAGTGGCAGTGGTAGTACCAAGAGTAGTAGTGGCTGTACAGTAGTAGCAGTAGCACAGCTGTGATCTTAACAGACTCCAGATGTACAGAACCAAAATTTAACTTTTTCCTGTGTACTGACTACATATGACAGCTGACAAGTGAAGTCTGAACACAGACCCTTGTGGCATCTGACAGGAGCAGCACATATAGAAGGCCTGGATCACAGCGCTGAGCCGATTGGCCGTCATGGAGATGACATCCTCGCCGTCAGCATAGACCTCTGTTTCCATGACAGTCTGAGGGTCCAGTAAGGAGGGGAGTTTGGGTGTGGACCCGGAGTGGTCGACCTCTCGCTGTTTCAGAAGCAGAGAGGCTATCTCGCTGCTGGATGAGGAGGAAGACGGGTTCTTCCTGTTCCTGTCCAGCTCTGTGGAGATAAGCACCAGCCACTCATCCAGGGAGTGCCACAGCAGCTCCAAAGGCTAAAAGAGACAGACAATAGGTGAGAGGTACACAGGATCAAAGAGAAAACAAAGAGAGTGATCAATGAAGATATATGAAGAGTAACTTTAGCCTTCACCTTTTCCACAGAATCTGGGATTGAGTGAAGACAAATTTCAAAGAGGAAAAAGTTCTAGAGAATGCCCTTTGTCCAACTGACTACAAGCAAAGAACGTTCTGACTACACTAAAGGTCGCTGAAATCAGGATCAGGATTTCAAAGATCTGAGGACCCTGTCAGTTGCACCAGCAGAGAAGTTTGCTTTTTATTGTCAGGTCATCCAAATCGCAAAAAAATACATATTTTCTTTCTTACCTCTTGTGCCATCTACAGTAGCAACAGAGGTGTGAATTCACAGAGTGGATGGTGGCTGCTGACAGCACTATGAATTGCACATCACTTGGAACTGTTTGCGCTGCCAAGGTTTGATTCACAAAAGACATTGCGCTAATGACATTACAGCACAAACACACAAATAAAGTGTTGTCACTGGATACAATCATCCATATGCCAAAGTATAAATTTTGTAGGTAGAACAATGGCAGAGAAAAAAAGAAAACTGAAATTTTCAAACTGAAGTGACAGGACCTGACCAGTTCACTTCAGGCAAGGAATTTATACCTGACAGGCAGAAACTATATTTGGGCTTAATATCCAAGTCTGTCAGTGCCCTTCAGTTACCACCAACCCTCTGAAGATGCTAATAATTACATTGTAACTGCATGTGGCTATTAGTGCTGCTCTTTATGAATTGGACTGTTTTTTGCAATAATGCTAATTTGCGTAGAAAGGGGCCAATTTTGCACAAAATTACCTAATTTAAATACATGTAATTTAAATTTAATTAAATTAATTAAATTAAATTAATTTAATTTAAATACATAGCACAGGAGCACCAAGACGCTATTTGCTTGGCAGTGCAGTTTGGGTTGCATTTGACCCTTTGCAGGTGCTTTGAGAATTACATGGCTTCTTTTCGTCCTATTTGTGCAGGTTGAGACAGCCACAAAAGCTGCGCAACCCTTTTGTGAACTCGCCCGAGATAGCTGTGTTTTCTTTGACCACGTTTTTAGATATTTGTCTCTAATTGTCTCTGATTATTTGCCTTCAATTGAGGTGAATGGTATTCTGTCTGAAGAGCTCATAAGAGGGAAAATTGACAGTTAAAAAAAAATAAAAAAGATAATAGAATTACCGCCTCGCAGTTGTATGCCTACAGTTACAGTTTACATCCATGTCTGTCCACACTCATGTAGCCATGACAGTGCTTTAAATGTGGAAGTTATTGCAAAAAAGTTACACACTCGACAACATGAATGTTTCACACACACATTTTCAACCCAGCAGCACAGAAGATCTGTACAATCAGCACAGTTTCAAGGTGGACACCCCAGATTCAGTATCTAACCAAATGTCTCCCCTTCTGTCCATCAGTTATGACGCTGAATAATGGCCCAAAAAAACCTTTATCATTAAAGACATTTTTATGAAATTTTGACATAATTATCCTGTGCATTTTTGAGTTATGGCCAAAACATGTTTTTGGGCTAACAGTGACCTTCACCTTTGACCACCAAAATGTAATAAGTTTATCCTTGAGTTCTAATGGACATTTGTGCTAAATTTAAAGAAATTCCCTCAAGATATTCTTTAAATATTATGTTAACTTGAATAAGACCGACAAGATCACGATGACCTTGGCCTTTTACTACCAAAATCTAATCAGTTTGTTGTTGAGTCTAAGTGGACTTCTGTGCCAAGTTTGAAGAAATTTCCTTGTGGTGTTCTTGAGATATCACATGATATGAGAATGCGCTGGACGCAAGGTCACAGTGACCTTGACCATTGACCACCAAAATCTAATCCGTTTATAGCAGAGCCCAAGCAGACATTTGTGCCAAATTTGAAGAAATTCCCTCGAGGTGTTCTTGAGATATTGAGTTCATGAGAATAATACAGACATGGTAACAGTGACTTTGACATTTGAAAGCCAAAATCAGTTCATAGTTAAGTCTAAGTGAACGTTTGTGCCAAATCTCAAGAAATTCTGTTCTTATATTGCGTTGACGAGAATAAACACGGATGGACAGACAACACGAAAACATAATACCTGCGGCCGTAGCTATCGCCAGCATGGAGGCACAAAAAAGTAAACGGCAAAATCTCGTTTCAGACACAGTGACCTTGTTTCTCTGCATAATCCACATTCTGTGGTCCTGAGTTTGTTGTAACTACTTGCTATTGGAGAATAAATCCCTATGAATACTCTTCATCTTTACTGTATTTGGGTGGAGGGTGAAATCTAAAAGATTTTTGTTATTTGGATGAAAATACCCTTTAAACAAATGTGCTGCATGATGAGAAGGTTTTGTTTCTAAGTTAGTGTCGGTACAGAATCCTGTTTAAGTCTTACAACAACAATTTTTATAAAAGGTTAACTATGGAATCATTAAATGTCATTAAATGTCTTGACTCCCTGGAAGAACAAATCATATATATCTCAATGTGACCTTCCTGGCTAAATAAAGCATAAATGAAATAAATAAAATCTTCCACATCAACTGTGAACTTTTTTTATGGTGATTTTGTTCTGGTTTGCTTTCTTTTCTCCATTTAATTAAAGATTTTTGGCTCTTTACAGTTAGCAAATGGACGTGCAAACGTGTGCCACAGATAGCAAACCGAAACACTACAGTATCTAAACCTTCCTTTCTGTGTGTTAAAGGGGTGAAGTTAGAAGTCAGTCTGAGTAGTGTTGATGCAAATCAAAAAAATCACACAATCCCAACCCCAAGATAATGACAACTATTTAGGGTTGAGCAATTCTGAAATATGTATACTATAAGCTATGACATTTGTCAAACTTAAAGAGTCATGCCAAAGTCACTGCTACTTTAAAAGAAATTTGTTGGGTCAGGTGATTGCAGGCAGAGTTCAAATCATTGAGCAGAACTGCTTTATGACCGTAATAGATTTATAGGATTGGAAGGACCTTGATAGCATGAAAGCAGATTTTATCAATATTGCCCAACCCTAACTCTGTCCAAACCCACCAAAGTACCGATCATTTTCAAATGGAATATTAAATATCAGAGTAAATCACCTGTCAGACTTTCATTCAGTGGAAGATGAAATTTAAATACCCAGCTCCAACTACCTTGACGGTAGGAAGGTTTCCACAGATCAAATTTCCCAGATTTTAACACATCAGTGTATTTGACATGCAGAGGTTTATGATTAACTGCAAATGATAAAAAAAATATCCATGTCTCACATCAAAGACAGCAGAACCTGTCCAGGAACATTCAGCTTTTTGTACCGTCTCCACCTCCATCTGTCTCACACACATCTGTAACCAATGGAGTCAGTTCTTATTGCTGCTGTTGTAGTTGAAAGGACACAAAGTCGAGTCAGTATTATCATGTGCCACTGTTGCCAACTAGCTTTCAATACAAGATGCAATACACTACACAAAGTTTCACTATTGCCCCTCTGCTGTTTTTGTACTACCACCAGAACATGGCAAAGTCAGACATTTTCAAACCCTACACATGAGTGCTGTAGTCATCAATGTTTTCATATTAACAAAGGCTCACATGACTCAGTGTTATATGAAAGGGGTCACTCGTGGGGACAAACCCACAATGACTTATAACCAACTCTGCAGCTTAGTGGCATTTTTTGAGTCTTTTAGCTCATTGTTTTGGCTTACTTTCACCACTTTCATCAACTTCAAAAGTAATAAGCTAAACATCAGTACTTAAACCACATAGTAACAGTTTCATTACAAACTCCAAAAGCTGGAGTATGTTATTTTGAGGCCAATCTTGATATTTGAAAGTTAAAAAAGAAAAAGAAAAAAAGAAAACTCCAAATTCTTTTCAAAATAACACAAACTCATAACACAAACATTTTCGATAACTGTCACATAAATGAGGTTCGTCAATTAGTGACCAAGATATGTAGTGAGCAGGACATTCTACAGTCCAAAAATAAACATGTTAGTGCTCTCTGGTGAAACAAAAGAACAGGCAGGCTCAACTTAAATGTCTCATAAGTAAAGACCAAATCAATGTGACATTGCACAAAAAACAGCAATCAGTACATTTGTCTTTTTCTGTTGTCATTTTCAGCCATAACTAACATTTAAAAGATACTCAGTTAATCACTGTGGTCCGACCTGTCAGCACTGATGCTAAACAATGTGCTGCTGTGGACAAGGACGCTATATTTTAATATCTATTCAACTTACCGTACACTAACCAACTGAGGACACGGTAGACCAGTTGAGCTAAGTAAAATTACCGTTTCAGTCTGGTGGCTTTGATGTAAAGCAGTGAAAATATTTTAAATACACCGTACACTTAAACTGGTGTTGATTTTTTTTGGGTGGGCCTTTCTTGAGGTGACTAAAAACTCACCATGTGCGGCAGCATTTGCTCAGCGCTGTTTGATATTATGTATGTGACGTAAGGGTTTTCTACCTGGAAGTTGTTGTAAATACACATTGTGATCTATAATGGTCTGTAATGGGTCTATAATGGGTGCTGTCCAAACAAAAAAACAAAAAATAAATCACAAAAAAAACGAATACATTTGTTGGCACTCACAAATGACAATAGACGTGTTCATCACATTTAACACATTTAACGTGTAATGCATTGAGCGTCTTTAACCAGGGTTGGACATTAACTTTTTTGTCCACCTGCCACTGCCACTGGTAGATTACACAATAGACCAGCTACCCAATATATCACCTTTTTTTTGGCTGATGAGTGAAGCCAATTCAGCCGCCACTCGATGCATGTTTTACCAGCATTTGACTGGTGGCTGGTGCTAATTTCCAACCCTGGTTGACATGTCCATTGTCTTCTTCTGTCACGCATAATTAAAAGTAACATTTACTTATTTGTGAGTGCTCTCTTGTTGACAAACTCTGCAATGGTGACACTGTATCTAAATAAACTAATTTCTTCAGTATTTCTGCAATAACATTTCCGTTACTAGGAATTTCCGTTACATTACTTTTCCATTACATTGGATTTTTTGTCGATATCCAAAATGCAGATACATAATACCTCATTTGACCGATAACTGATACCGATATTGATATATCCACTTTTTTCCCCCACCTAATTTTAGTGATCATCAAGTCTCTTCTGTAGTGGAATTGACATCATATTTTGCATGTCTACTCTTATTGTGATGGCCCACCAGGAGATGGAGACATTATACAGAATGCTTTTCAGTGTTTGAAATATTCATTCATTGTGCAAAATAAGAAAAAGCATGTTGGCTGCTTCCAATTGTTCATATGTCGCCTCTGATATATTTGTCTGTAGTAAGATTAAGTATTAAAGGGACATTGTGTAACATTTTCAGTTGTTTACTGGCAAAGATCGATGTCTGCATTCATAAATATGTCATCATTGGTGTACTATTCCACCAATAATCTGACTTATTCTTGTAAAAGGAGAATTTCGGATTTGTTTGTACATTGTGCGGGTAAGTCCTCTGGGTAGTTCCATAACGTTTCGCCATCTTGAGAATACATCCACCAGCAAGGTATATATAGCACCAAGGAGCAAGAGGCGCATCGCTACTACCCCGGCAAATATGAAACAAAGTCCCACTCTTTGAGCATAATGTAAGATCATATGCAGCATCACGGGGGAGGGAATCCTCGTCTCAACAGTTTTACCACAAAGTATGACTTTCTTGACCTTAAAATTTATGTTTTACATTCATTAACAACATATTTAGATTTCATGTCGCGACTCAAACGGGAACAAAAGATAATATTGCTCTCCCCATTCACTGCCATTCATATTTTTTCCAATCTAAGGTCCCATGAGCTTTACCAGAAGTGGCATGACTTCTGCACTCTATTACAAGAATCGGGGGCAAAACAGTGTGCAGATTTCTCTATTTTGTGCCTCAATATTTACTTAATTTTTGCTTACATTTGAATCTCACACTGCAAATAACACAGAACATACACTACTTCCATCCCAGCAGACTACTCAGTGGTTTTACAGCCCTTACAGATCACAGTATACTTTCTATACAGCTTGTACTAACCTTAAAGACCTGGCTGCGAGGTGTCTTGTTGCCGTTGTAGCCCATGTCGTTGCCATTGTTGGGGGATGAAGGCCCCAGGCGAAACACATGGCAGAAAATACGAACAATTCTCAGCAGACTCTTCATCTGAGCTTCATAACTGCTGGACAGGCTGAGGAGGGACAGAGTCAAACACATCTTAGCACCACTCAACAATCAGTTTGTAATGCAGTTCCATCAAATCAAACACACTGTCACAGATAAGACAGCTGCAGTACAGGGAGGCACGATATTGTAATCTTTGCCATTTGTAATTGTTTCCAAGTCTGTCTGCAGTCAGTGAGGGAGAGGAGTACTGATCACTCTGATTCAACTGAGTAAAACAGGGGACACTTGTTCTGTGAGAACATCTTTGATCCTCTATTTCTTCTCAGCATTGATCTTTAAAGCTTCGCTGTGAGATGCTGATGTCACACTGCTGTCTTACACAAAGACAACCTCTGAGAAATATCTAAAGGGGGAAAACAGTTCCCTTCTGTCCATCAGCCATCACTGAAACACTCAGAATTACACAGAAAGTCACACATTCAATCTATTGATTCTAGTTAAGTGTCTATGACTGTCGGTGACTTGATTTTTAATATGTATCTGTATCTTAAATTCTAAATCTTAAAATAATAAATTGGTTATTGAGGTGAATCCTGGTAGAGGAAAGGCTTCTGTTAGGAAAGAGACAGTTTGAAATCACGAAGGACCAGGACACACAATGTTCAATAATCTATAATCTGTACTGGTTTTAATTTTTATCTACATCACAAGCATGACAGGATAGAATGATAGAGACCACAAATTGTTATTTTTACATTTATGTAATGTGATTTAAGAAAGGAGAAACAGTAGAGATGGGTTCATGATACCAAAGCTACAAAACTTGTTTCACTCCTGTGAGGCACACTGTTTCAATACATTGTGTCTGAGTTTGTATCAAATCAAGAACACCACGTGATTGATGACATCTGAAGCGTCAAATGTCACTGGTGCAACCGAAAGCGCTTCATTCAGTTGGACAGGTTTAAAAGTTTTGCATGTTACTATGTTACTATGCTGAGAAGAATAACAGAAATATGGTGATGTACACTGGAAAGGTGTTTATTCATGAGCATGAGAACATTGCCACTTGATACCAGGTAATTACGTTAAAATAAAAATAAAAAGCTAATATTATGAATATCATTCTCCAATCATATCACACTGCAATTCATATAAACTATACCAATACAGTACATTAAGGTTTAAAGTCAGCAAAATGTTTTATACAGTATGTAGGCTTTGTGGATTATGCATTAATTAATTATTTTACTGTAACATTCTGCACAATACCATCAACAGGGTTCCCACACATTTTCATGGAGAAAATTTCAAAACTTTTCTATGACTTTAAGGACCCATAATAAGAAATTTAAACTTGCCCAGCGTTCTTCAAACATATCAGATTCAAACTCAATTCAAACATAAATTTCAGCTAGCTGCCACACGTGGAGGAAGAGTAAGAACGCAGGGAGAAAACGAGGAAAGGTATGTGATGGTAAACAAAATGTTGTCACACATGGATGCATATCTGAGCTGTTACATTGATAGCTTCAGAAAATACAATTGACGTTATGTTGCGTTATGTTGAAGGTTATCCAGAGCAGATAACTTTAACAATGTCATTATACACACAACAAAATTCCACAACTTTTTTAAAACTGTCAATGATTTTTACTAATTCTATGACTTTTCCAGGCCTGGAAAATGTGAATTCCATGACTTTTCCAAGTTTTCCATGAGTACAGGAATCTTGCATCTACATTTGATGCAGCTGATGGTAAAAAGTATTCTGATCAAAAGAATTTCAGATTTAATGACAACACACAGGCTTACTGCACACATAAAACTATTAAATTCTGAGAGGGGCTGTGGTGCTTCGGTCAGTCTTAAAGGGCTGCTGTACGTTCTGCAAACCACCAGATGTCACTGTGTTTGCTGCGTTTGAAGCCCTAAAGCTTTGAATCTTTTTCAAATCTTTTTCTTTCGCCCATCCCTAAGATACAAGATATAAGATATATACATAGATATAAGTCGTTAAACACAGAACTCTGAACTTTGGACGTAGTCAAACGGGCTGTTTCTCCCTGCTGACAGTCTTTATGCTGACATGAGATTCATACCAATCTGAACATCTCACTCTGAAAGAAAGTCAAGAAGTGGTTCCCAAAACATGTCAAATGATTCCTGCCTCTAAAACTGTGAATACGTCAAAACATTCTGTATAACAGATCAATAACAAACAAGAAAAAGAGGCAAATATGAGAATCAAATATATAAAGTTATACCTGAGAAGCTTGTGTCCATTGGTGGTAGCCACCTCAGCAAGACTGGTCAAGATCCTCTGGTAATGACTGTCGCTCTGCTGAGAGACATGCTCCAGGACCTGCCTGAGCTACACACACACACACACACACACACACACACACACACACACACACACATCAATAGAAGTGTATGCACAGGGACTGAATGACTGTAGAGACAACGTGGTCCTACCATGTTCTCCTTCATATCATCATTTTGTGTCATCTGGATGAGGGTCTGGAAAAGTCTGCCGTGGTGCTGGATGAGGATCTCACAGGTCTCCCCATATCCACCCTGACCACGCACAGGAGGTACAGTAACAACACACAACACTAACAGAAAAAGGTGTAAAGGTCGTGGATGGTAAAAAGGAGGCAAAAAACACACACTCACCTGCACACAGAGATCCAGAGGAGTGATTCCATTCTTGTCAGCGAGGTATTTGGCACCTCGAGAGAGCAGGATCTGCGCTGTGTCTCTTTGACCATGACTACAGAACAACACAAGACAAGTTTCATACAACTACAGTAACGGACTGTCAAATACTGGCACTATGATACAAAGCGTTATCCATGGGTATTTTACAATAGTTCAATCCCTCACATTCCAGGTTGTAACATGTCAGTTACTAACTGTAAAAAGCCAACTCCGGTTGGTTAAGTCCTTCTTGAAATTAAGAGTCTAAGTATATGCATCAGTGCCACACCATGAATCATCAGCATTACAATACCATCACTGATGACATCACCTGCAGGCAAAGTAAAGGGGTGTGGCTCCAGAGACGTTGGGCCGATTGATGTCAGCTCCACTGTCCAGAAGACACAACACCGTCTGAGCAAACACACACACACACACACACACACACATCACACACTGATATACTGGATGATAGTAACAATTTACAGAAATGATTTCTGGGTCTACATTCTCATGATGTAATGGCTGAATTATCGATAGGATAAAAGGTTGTAAAATGAGAGGATCTCTGTAATGGATAATATCTGGTGTATTATTCATATTTCTGGAGGAGAGCCAGGCATGGACAGCAGCTCCATCCACTAGTAGTGCGCACAGCCTAAGTGGGTGAGCCCTCTGTTGTGGGTGGCTCATGCTATGCTCACAGCAGTTAACCTCAAGGCTGCATCCTTATGACACTGTGACACACATGTATTTAATGATTGTAATGACAAGGATGTGTGGCAGGAGCCTCTGGCTTTACAACAACACTTGGCCAATTTTACAATCTTATGTGCTGTAAATTACAGCCCGCCAGTCACAATTACAGCTACAGGAACAGCCACATCCATAGCCAAGTTGCATTTTAGCTCCAAAACTACAGCCAAGCACCCAGTGGCTGTGATTCATCTCAGAGTTCCACCGGTAATATGGATCAAAGCAGGGGTGAAAGTAGGCGGTACAGTCTGGTACACTGTACCACTAAAAGATTCAGTGCTGACACACTGTAATGAAAGGAGGGGACAGCAGTTGTCTGCCTGAAGCAGTTTGTTACTGTAGAAAAGAGAAACCACAGATTCAAACTTCCCAGATCAATAACTTACAGGGCAAACATTGTTATCAGACAAAGTTTCTTTCCAATCGTAGTTAGGTAGACAATGAGCTATGACCAAATTTTCATCAAAACAAGGCGTTCTTCAAGCTGGGCAGTAACACTGCCCTGTGTGCATCTGGCTATGAGACAAGTACGCAGGGGCTGTCTACAAAGTACAACACTGAAAGGAGATGCTACAAAATTATTCAAAAGCTTAATTCTTATAAAGTATTATGTCCCAAAAATCACTACACACATCAATGCTCTCCTGTTGGTTACACCACAACACTTGGAACAGCTTGGAAAAATGTGCTTTTGCATTTTGGGGAAAAATTTACTCTCATTAAGTGTAGTGTCCCCAAATATTAAATAACTTTGATCTTAGAAACTCTTATGCCTCTGCACCAGTGGTTGCAGGCATTATATTTTCAGGTTGACCATCCACCCCGTCAAAGGTCAAGGTGACTGTGACCTCAAAAACATGTTTTTGGCCACAACATAAGCCGACCACACATTTGCTAATGATAACAAAATTTCACACAAATGTCTAATAGGATAAAATGAAATGATGACATTTTATATCTTCAAAAGGTCAACTTTACTGTGACATCATTGTTTTCTGCAAAACACTTTTCTGGCCATTATTCAACGTCACATCTCAGGTACAGAAGGGGAACATTTGGTCAGATACTGATTTGGTGACACTAATCTTGGGTGTCCACATTAAATCTGTGCTGATTGTATTGTGCTGCTGAGTTAAAGATGTGTGTGAAGCATCCACGTTTTAAGATATTTAGCTTCTTTGCAGTGACATTGATATTTGAAGCATTGTCAGCTGTCATGGATATATAAGAATCTGGACAGACATAGATGTAAACAGCAATTTGACTGGTTAGTGGAGGCATACAACCAAGAAGTAGTTATTCTATTTGTTTCTGAGCACAATGATCTATGAATTCAAAGACAGAGACTTGTTCAACTATAGTCCATTAAAATTAGTTGTATTTTTCTCCTCATTTAAAACAAAACAAATTGTTATGATTTTGAAAGCTTTGTCAATATTCACTTCCGTGGCACTTTGACCATTCAAATGAATCATTTGCTAAACATGATGTTAAGTGTTAATTTCTTTCTACACTATACAGGCATTAAAAAAATGGACATGTATGTTTAGGGATCCATGAAGCTAAAGGCAGGAGGAGAACAACATGAAGCGATAAAGGTTGGAGTAGTAGTAACAGCATGAACTTCAATCTACTTTCACCCCTGGATCAAAGAGAATGCAAAATTCTGTCAACAACTGTGCCCTGCCAGTAAAACCCAATATTTACTGCCCTCAAACTACCGGCCATAAAGGCCTAAAAGCCTGGCAAGCAGCCCCTAGAAGCCATGCTGCTCCTAATGCACAAATGGACTAAAGTGGACTGAACTGATCCAGCCAAAGACTGACATCTGTTGCCAAGCTTTGAGTCCTGTGCTCTATATGGCTTTTTAATTAAAGAGGTATTTTAAAATTGGCTCACAGTTTTGTGTCCATTCTGACAGGCCACATGTAGAGCTGTCTGTCCCATGGCGTCTTCCACATCCACATTGGACACATGCTGGACCAGATCATGGAGGAGCTCAGTTCTTCCATTCACTGCCAACCAGTGGATCTGTAGCATTGGTTTACATGAACAAGCACTATCCTGACTACAGGAGGTAAAGGGGCAGTTTACCAAAAATCAAAACTACATATCTTATCTGTGGTGCTATTTATCAATCTAGACTGTTTTGGTGTGAGTTGTGGAGTGTTGGAGATATCAGCTGTAGTGATGTCTGCCTTCTCTCCAATATGATAGAACTAGATGGCACTCAGCTTGTCAAAGGACCAAAAAACAAATTTGAAAAACTCAACAGCAATGTCCCTTTCCAGAGATAATGACCAAGTTACTCAAGATAATCCACAGACCCTGCTGAGAGCAGTTTTATTTTGGAACTATTTTCTTTCTACCCAACTACACCCATCAACCATATCACCTTGCAAAAGGTAGTGTTCATCTACTCATGGATGAGAGGCTCCACCTTGTGACAGCACATTAATGGCGTCCTCCTCGGATGAGCTGTAATGCCAGCTAGTTCACTACTGTGAGGTGAGCTAGCTGTAGATGCACACTTCTTTCTAACCAGGACATGATTTCTGGAAGGAGACAATGCTGATGAGTTTTTCAAATCTATCGTTACTTTGAGGACCACAAGCTGAGTGCCATCTAGTTTCATTATTTTTGGGAGAAGGCAGATATCTCCAACACTCGGCAGCTCACACCAAAACTATCTCGACATATAAATTGCACAACAGGTAAGAGGAGAAATATGTATTTTTGGGATGAACTGTCCCTTTAAACAACCACCTGTCACAGAGATAACACTACAATAACTTGATTAACAATGATGATTGCATGGATTTTAAGACATTCAACAGAAACATGAAGCACAACCGGAGAAGAGTCCACTCACAGCAGTCAGTCCCTCATTGTTGCAGATGTTGACATCAGCATTATATTCCAGCAGTTTGCCCATACACTTCTTTTGTCTGAGGGAACAGTGAAGGACAGGGTTAACCATCAGTATCATCACACACACAGTCAACACTGTCAACAATCATGACTATCTTCAGTTCATGATACATGCAAATAAAATCTACGAGTCTAATACCCAGGTATTTAAAAAGAATCATCTGAGTGATGAATCCATGCAGTTACATTCTCATCAGTGTCAACCATATAATAATGTATGAGAGGAATCCAGCAGCAGAAATACAGGAAAGATGTGAAAGGGTAAAATGTTATGTTTGCTGATATTTTGGTCTTGCCAGCCACTGGATGTCTGGGTGAGCTCAGATTACAGAGCATGCAGTGTCAGCTAATAACCACATGTGACCACATGTGACCCCTCAATACTAAACTGGCTGGAGGTTGTCTGGGATGGTCCATATTACTGGAATAATCAGTGAGGGGCCTAATTCAGGACAAAATCCTGTCACACACTAATCCCACTGTCAGCATTTCTAGAGGAGACTTCAAGGTATCTTGTGGCCGTTTTTTTTTTGTTTAACCTACAGTAGTGCAAGTCATTCAATGAAAACTCTAAGTTCGGATTCCCAACATTTAAGGCAAAAAATTAGGCGGTATAAAACTGTCAAAATTGTTTTCAATGGCGGATGGCACTAATTCAAGTGTTTTTATAAGCAAAAAGTAACCAGAAAACTATGTTTTTTTTTATATTTTCATCTGTTTTCTTTTAAGATTTTTTCATTTTCTCATGTCCCTCTGACCACTTTTCACATTCATATGATGTAAAACTCAAATATTCCATAACTACTGCATTTTTATAAAGGAATTATGTTAAATTAAAGAAAACACATTCTGGATTCTGGATCATTCATGATTTGTTTGTCCATAAGTTTTATGTTCCTCCTCATCACACCAATGTATTTCAGCACAGAGATACTGTACTGTGACATCACTATGAGAAAATTACATCATTTAAGAATAACTTTATTCATCCCCAAGGGGAAATTAAATTATCTGTCAGCTCATCTATTATATGTCAAAAAATTATAAAGCCTGATGGCTGTTGGTATATAGGATCTTCTGTATCTCTCTGTCCTGCATCGAAGAGAGAGGAGCCGTACACCACAGTTTTTTTGGTCCATCAAGGTATTGTGGAGTGGATGATCTGGTTTGTTCATGATGGCCTCGAACATCTTCAGTGTGCATCTCTCCACCACCTCTTCCAGTGCGTCCAACATGACTCCAATCACAGAGCCAGCTCTTTTGACTAGTTTGTCCAGCTGCCTTGCATCTTTGTGTCTGATGCTTCCTCCCCAGCAGACTGCAGCATAAAACAACACACTTGCCACCACAAACTGATAAAACATCTGCAGCATCTTACTACAGATGTCGAGAGATCTGAGCTTCCTCAAGAAAAAGAGGCAGCTTTGCCCCTTTTTGTAGAGAGCATCTGTGTTTAGGGACCAGTCCAACTTATTATCCAGGTGTACACCTAAATATTTATAGCTTGGCACCACCTCGATGTCCACCCCACAGGTATTCACTGGCTGAAGAGGGGGCTTGGACCTGTGGAAATCTATGATCATTTCCTTGGTCTTGGAGGTGTTCAGGAGGAGACAGTTCTTGTGACTCCAGTCACTGAAGGCTTTTATCAGGTCCCTATATTCAGACTCCTGCCCATTCCTGATACACGCCACAATAGCAGTGTCATCCGAGTATTTCTGGATGTGGCAGGACTCAGAGTTGTATTTGAAGTCCGCCGTGTACAGTGTGAACAGGAATGGAGCCAGGACAGTCCCTTGTGG